GTTTGAGGAAAGCAATTGACGCTTCAGTCAAACACCTCTTTAAAATGCAGTGTTTTGAAGGTGAAACGATTGTTTAGGGGAGAAAGGGGGAGGAGAGAAATTATCCGCGTTAGCTTTGCAATGCCAAGTTGGCAGATCTTCATACCGGTCATGTGGTGGAAGACACCACTGGTTTTACTGTTGATGAGGGAGGGAAATTTCGTGGGTGAGTCGAAGGCTTGGGTGTATCGCAGACAACCATTCGGTGGCATTCGCTTTGTCCACACTTTGGCGCAGTTAATTTAATGCTTGATGACGTCTTGCCTTGACAAGTAATGACGAGTTGTTTCAAAGCCCCGAGGTGAAGTGGTGAGAGGAGCAAAACGAAACATCTCGTTGTTTGGCATGCCGGACTGAATTGAGAATTGGAGGTCTTCATCAACAAACAAAAACAAAGGAATACGCCTTGTGCGTCTGTAAGGAACACCTTTTTTTCATCCATCTGCCGTCCTCAGGGAGGCTTTGAGGCACCGCTGCGATGGTTATGCCCTACAAAATCTTTCCCACTTGACGGATCTTACGAAAGGCCTCTCAGTCTGTGATTGCAATGCGCTCCTCAAAAACGCTATCATAAAGGGAAGCAACACTGATTGGAGGCGTTCAGTCGTAAGCTCTCCACATCCCTGTGTGTTCAACTGAGCTTTGGAGGAATGGAGCCCCATAAAGCCCCTTATCCTTGTCGTCCCCTTCCCGCACTTTGGTAAAAGCTCCGACTTTTGGACCACTGATTGACATTAAAGGGGTCATCCACAAGACGGAAGCTTTGGATCTCGTGGAAAGGCATTCACTTGTCCCCTTACCGACACCGACTGTGTTGTGATGTTGATGTGGGGGGGGGGGTCTAAAACAAGCGCAACAAACTCTTTGGGCACAGCAGTTCCACTTGGTGGCGCATTCACAGAGGTCGTCTTTTAGTTCCACAGGGCACTGTTCTATGACTTCATGTCGTGGACTTGCAATCACCTTCAGGGCCTCCTTGTGCCTTTGTGCGTAGTTACAAACGCCTCCTCCACATTGATGAGAAGACTTATGACTTCAGAGGAGATTCAAGACAGTCCGATGCTAGCAAAGTCAGTAGCTTGATGCGCAATGCTTGGAAGGTGGTGAAGTGTGTTGTAACAAAGGCTTACAAAAGCAAGTTCGGTGGATGATTTCGACTAGTTAAGAGAAATATTGTTCAAGTATTCAGACCCACACCTCACTTCACTTGCCTAAAATCGCTGTTTCTCTTCTTGTGCGATTAGAAGTGGATCAGATTTGTGGGAGTCCGTCCTGCTCGAATGGTCTTCCTTTTTAACCCGCCTCAAAACACTAAGACGTTGGTTGCATTGAAAGTTACCGAAGACGGAGATTTTCTCAACCCAATGGCGAGTCATCAGTCACTTTTGAATAGCTCAGTCTCTCAGCTCCGCACACTTTTTCACCCACCACTTTGTGGAGACGAGTCTCTCACCTCTCTTCGGTGAGACGACACTCGAGTGGAGTGTCTTGAAGCAACTTATTTTACGCCTTAAAAGCCACTCTCCAGGCTAAAGTTTTAAAAGAAAGATGACAAACCTATTTATGGCATCATGTCATCTTGACAGCATCTGATGATTGTGCTGGTGAGAGGGCATTTGACTTTTACAGTCACCGGTGTTATAAAGGATGTGAGTCCTCTTTTGGAACCCCTTGACGCATCAAGTTAGCCACCTCCAAATCCCCATGACAACCCTTCACTTCGGATCATTTCAACCCTTCAAATGAGTCCTTTTGTTAGAAACGAATTTTTTATTTAAAACGAAAAAAAAAATGACTGCTTCTTCCGCATTCACCTGAGCCTGCAACGCTCCAACCTATTGTGATCGCCAAAGTCGTCTACTGACACTCCTCACCACTTCTGTCGCCCTACGCCTAAGTGGGAGGAAGAACTCCAAATTTAGAACCTCAATTAGTAGCTAATGACGTCTTCTAAGCAGACAAGTGGATTTGAGTTTTAGCATTTGGTTGCTAGCCTTAAAGACATTCTTACACACCAACAGGATAATCGTTCGAGTGAACTGCTGCTTCCCAAATTAAAGGGTGCGTCTATCAGGTGGTTCTACCCTAATGCTACGAGTGCACAGCTCACAGTCCCTCAGTACGGTGGGAAACACAAGGCAGACAAATGACACTGCGACAAGGTAAGGCGTCAACCACATCCATTCAGTTGCCAAAATGGAAGCACAGCTCCCTTCAAGTCATCGGGGCTGATGGTGAGAACACGCAAATTAACGATCCCATTTTTGTGTATAGAATGTGAGTAAAATGCTTTAGCAAAATGTGCATAAGATGATGACAAAAATGAAGACTGTTCCACACGTAATCAATGCAATGCTCGTCGCTGACGTAGTGCTTTACTCCTCTCGCTGTTTGCTCTTAAAAACAAGAAAACAAAGAATAAATGTAGGGATAAGGCAGAAATTAGTGGCCAAAAAGGGCATTTATGCTAATGAAGCAGTAAAAAGTCATTAAATGCGTTAAGTATAGGCAGGTTAACAAGACTTACAAATTTGGTGAATCCTTTTAAGGAGAGGTTCCTATTGGGCCTCTTCCTAATTCCATCGGCTGGCGGAGGGCCTACTGATAACATTTCAGTAGCATCCACACTCGTGTGTTGGTCAAAGCTTGGCTGAGACGACTGTGGTGATGGTGGAGGTGGTGGTGTTGCATTAACAGCCTTAAAACAGTCAAAAATGGATAAAATGAAACAATGCACCCGAAATTCATCGTTTATACGCTGTAATTTTGGATGACATTCCATCAATCTACTCTAAATTTGTTAAAGTTTTTATTCCCCAATTTCCTTGTCCGAGCCTCCCGCCAACTCCGAGATTGGTTTCCCTGACACAGTAACACTCTTGGAAGCAAATTTGCCGACAAATTTGAAGAGGTTTTACGACTCAGGCTGTGTGGTTGAAGGAAAAGAGCTTGCGGCCATGGCCTGGTAAGCGAAGATGGCAAAAATGATGGACACGTGGTTGAGAAAAATGAAATATGAATGGGCAATTGGATGATCTAACTTAGTCCGATCGACTTGATCAATTACTTACTGGGACTATTCTCCGGTCTCCACCACCCACATGCCGGAAGCGACCATCAAATTGTTCAAGGCTAATCTTTGCGCCTTCCAACAATGCGCTTAAGCGCCTCTCAAGTCACAATTTTCACGCTAAACAATCATTAATAGCAAACGGTTGGTGCTTAGGGGAGGCTACGGAGCCGACAAATCAGACCAGATGTCATTAATGTGGGCTGAAATAAACTCCCCAAGGTGGTATTTCCAGGCTCCACACCGGTGGATCAAGCATTGCTTCAACCACACCACACTCATTGCAAAAGAAACTCAATCCATCCGCGGCTATCATACTCACCGAGATGAGATTTTCTAACAGGTTTTGCATCTGCTCTGTGCGCTTGTTTTTAACCTCTTGACTGTGCTCTAACCTCTGGACCATACAGCGTAGGCGATCAGTCACATTTTTGAGGCAATTCTCCAGTCGAATGAGACGCGAGTACGCTCGATCCATGTCCTCCTTACTCGCCACTTGGGTGGTCAAGAGCTTGGAGAATTGCTCGTACGATTGTCCAATCTCTGCCTCTTGGAAATTGAACATCTCCTGCATCAAACTCAGCTATAGTTGATGAAGAGAATTAAGATGTTTAAACTATAATCAAGGAAGGGTTTCGTCTAGTAGCTTTTGGCTCTCCCAGGCCAAAAGCCAATCTCCAAATTTCTATCTTTTGCCGACTCATCGGGTTCAGTATTTAAGTAACAACCTCAGGTAAATCCATCCCTACTAAATAACAGTGAGTTTTTGTCGATTACCACTCAGTAACAGTGAATTAGTGACAGTTTTGTGACACATGAGTTCGATACTAATTAATTTATTTCAGCGTCCGAGACGTTTAGGACCGAATTCATGCTCAAAGATGCTGCTTATTACCTGATCTATTTTATTTTGCCTGTACCTACTCCTGCAAAGGTGCCTAATTTTTACGAAATTTCGTCTACTATTAGAGATATGGTTACCAAAGGTAGGAAGCGTAACATCCGCCTTCACCTTTTTATTCTCCAGGGTTTCGCGTAGTGCTCTGCGCTCGTTTGTATTCAACTTCATGTCACTGTTTGCGTCAGCTTTGCACAAAATTTTGGCCAGTTCTGTTTCATTAAGTTCCTTGCTAAATAAGGCAAAAAATGTCCACATTGGAAATAAAACCCCTCTACTTAAATCGCATTTCAGTAAAATATGACCGACAAATGCTTTGGCTTAAAAAATCTATTACTGCATTTAGTATTAATTTACTTATTTAGTTATGCTGCTACGCTACGCATGGTATGAATGTACTTTATTTCCGCTTTTAAATCGTCGATGGGCACATCGTCCTCTTCCATGGCAACAGCATCGATAGCGTCCTGAATCTCCTGAAGTTGATTCTTCTTCTGTTTCATCTTGTTGCGCATTTCCCTCAGACGCTGCAACACAGAAGCAAGGTATGATGCAGATCCAATCTATCCACTTCCTTAGTCGTGCCATTCCGGCCAGTTATTATCCTATTACCCACTCATCGCTGTCTTATTTACGCATGAACACCGACTTTTGCTGCTAATTGTACACCCTTAACTTCATATTCGCCTTTTGATGTTTAAGAGGTGGACCTACTTGCTTGAAAAATGCCTTCATGTGGAGCTCACTGGGCTGATTTAGCAAATTCGACTTCACCTCGAGGTAGGTGTCATTGATGATGGCGATGAACATGTTAATGAGGACAAAGAAGACAAAGAAGATGTAAACAAGGAAGTAGAGCGGACCGAAGACGCTTTGTGCGTCTTGCAAAGCTTGGAAATCGAAGTCGCCCAAAATGATGCGGAAGAGAGTCATGCTGAAAAGAGATGGCGTTAAGAAAGCAGTGCGTTCTGACAGAAGGCTAGCCTATCCTACAGCTCAAATGTTGGATGATAACGAGTGATGAGAGCAGGTTTCAATGTTAGTGGGTGAGACTGGAAGAGTCTGCTTCTCTTTTGCTTTCATCTAGGGAGCGCTTAGAGGGTTAAACAGGGCATGGGATAGACCTTTCAGCGTCATACTCACAGGGATGTTGGAAAAGTGCCAAAGTCGGAGACTTGTGTGCCGAAAGCCAGGTAGCCCAATTGGGCAAACGCGAAGAAGACGATAAAGAACATGACGCCGAAACCGGCAACATCCTTTGCACAATTCGCCAGGGTCAAATTCAGCTGATTCATGGTCTTATTGAAGCTGACGTACTTAAAGATCTACAATTCACATCACAGCATTCCATTTTTCTCTGTCGCACATTGTTTACAATTTGGCTTGCCAGAAAAACGCCAAAATCCTTTAAATTAATTTTAAAATAGTCCTTAAGATTGCTGGATGATGTGCTGCGGTCATTAAATGTGTGCAAAGATTAGCATTGAGGACGGAAGGACAATAAGGAGAACAGCTACCTTGATCCAAACCAGGAAAACAAGCACACCGATGGCATAGTTAAAGTGCACTTCCCAGTAGCTAAGTTTCTCGAAGTTGGAGTACTTATTGGGATTGTTAAGAAGACTGCTCAACGTGGCATTTACTCGTATCGTGCGGTAAATGTTGAATCCAGCACAGATGCAGGAGAGTAATATAACAGCAACGTCCAGGAGGTTCCAGAATTTTGTAAGGTACTTGTAGCCAAGATTGCAAATCTAAAGCGAATGACGAAGCCTTCGGGTTAAGTTAGCGGCGTTTTAATTTCATTAAATGCCATGGATGGCGGGATCGGAGGAATGGTCTTTTGAGGACTGCATTATACGAGGTCTTAAAAGGGATAGTCTGCGTAGACGATAAGAAAGGTCATAGATGGGAGTGATGCAATCGAGTGAGAAGTAAAGCCACGTACAACTTCATGTTTTCCCAATCAAGATGATGTCTATACTTTTTTGCAGATAAAAATAGTGCTCACTTAGAAAATACTCTATTACAAAATTCGTTTACTTGACATTTGAGAACGTTTATTGCGAGGCATAAATATGAACAAGAGAGTGGTAACGGAGAAAATAGGACAACTTTAAAGTTCTGGGCAGAACATAGACTTACCTCGATAGCCTCCTCGGCAATGTAATAAGCAATAAAGAGTAGGAACAGACACTCGAACATCAGTACAACATAATCCTGGGTACGAACATAGCGTAGAAGTTTTACCGTTCTGAAGTAACAGTTAATAAGGATTCCACCTGTTGGAGGGAGCTCAGCAACAAGTCTGCAAAGAATTAAGGTAAAGTGCGCGTGTAAAACTCAGTGTAAGATGTGTTTAAAAATTATATCTTTGACAATCGCTCATTTTTATCAAATTTACTTTCGATAATTCTTGTTTTACTTTGTTTAATGACTGTCTCTATGATGATTGCCTCTGGCGATTAACTGAACGTTCGAGACTTAAGTCTCAGAAAGAAGGGTTGGAATTACATAAAAGTTGAGCCTTTATCATTCCTACGAAATTTTAGCTTTGGCTTATTTGATTACCTCAAGCGTGACGCTGTTCTGCCCGGATGAAGATTCTGTTTTTCAGCCTCTTTTCTTAATTCTAAGTAAATTCATGGTGTTTAATCACAGTTAAGAAAAGTTAGCATTTCAAATATAGCAAAGGGCAGGTTTTCAACTCAAAACCGAAAGGCTTTCCTACACTTTTCCTTAATTTGCCTGGTTTTTTATAAAATATCGCTCTTTTACTTTTGTGCTAGCCATAAATAAGACCAACTAGAAAGTTGGCAACACCTCAGCTCTATTAAAAAGGCGCAGTTGTATTGTTTTATCAACGAGTTGATATTCCGAATATGAGAACGACAATTAATTGTTGAATATGTGCTTCTCCGCTGCAAAATTAGTTATGCTGTGGAGGGAACCTAGCTTTTAACCGCATTGATATGGTACTTTTTTGCGCTATACGTACAACTAGTTAAAACTTCAAGTTTCTTAGTTTTTTGATTTGACAGTGTATATGCCAATGACGCCTTTGGAATTGCGGGAGGGTCAGAAGCACACAACTTACAGTGTAAGTTATAAGGCGAATGAGGACTTGATGCGGTAAAATTTTAGCGCTAGAGCTACATAGGTAAGCCTTGGATAGCATAATGTCAAGAATAAAATCTAAACTGTCTTCGAAAATTGACTTGAGTTGGTGATAGTCATGGTTGAAGCTCGATTCTTTGCCAATGAGAGCAGAAATTATGCCCCACTAATCTTAGGGCCTAGCAGCTATGGGAATAAAATTTTAGGAGAACAAGTTAATCAGCATTGGTAGCACATTATGGCCTTATCTTTGACAAAAGCGTTTGACTTGCACTCGTGACTCACGAGACAACACAGAAGAGATTGGTATTTGAGTTGTAGACAGTGAAGTGGAGGAAGATGGCGCTGGTGCCCCGATCCACCCAGAGATTTTCAAATAACTCGTTCACACTTTCCAAAGCTGAGTTCATGTCCTGCGGGAGGTCCAGGTAGTACCCGCCACCGCCATACGCCGCCACTGTGCCGAAATGGATGCCCATTTGTAACTCATCTCCCGACGTGTAGGTCCAACTTAAAAAAGAAATTATTTCGAACATCAAAAGTTACAATTTGCTTGTTTAGTTAGCTTGTTTTTGTGGTTTAAGGGGGCAGTCGGGGCTTTGTTGGTGTAAGTTCTTCCTGACCTCTACGATTAACTTCCCAATACTGTATTTTCTTTGAATAACCATTACTAAACCATAGTAGAAGCTTAGTTGTAGGTGATAATTTAACAGAATCAATGTATGATAACTCATTCATTTTGGTACACACAATGCAATTCTAAACCTTCGCTTAACTCACGCAGTCGAATTGCCTGGACCGTAGGCCGACCTGTCTTCAGTGGCGGCGGAATAGAGGCCATAACAAGTGGTAATTTGTTTTGCAAAGTCGGCTGGAATGCTGCAGGAGTGGTTGGTGACACGTAACTGACGAATTCGTACCAATCCCAATCTCACGGATTCATAGCCTATGTAGTATGAGTCGTTGCCGCTGATTAGCTTGCTGTTGTACCACTTGTTGTTGAAGAGGGTGCGGATCAAAGGATCCCTCAGTATCTGATAACGAAGCGAAAGAATTGCTACTTAAACTTAAGTAATTGTGAAAGATAAATCTTTCGACTACTTTTATGCAGGTCATAAAGGCAGATTAGTAAGTAAAACGCACATTCCAGTAGTCAGCAATGGAGTTGACAGAAGATAGGGTGAGGTCACTACCCTCTACGGGGGTATTCATCAGCGCATCCCTTACTGCCTCGGTCATGTAGAAGGCCTTTGTGTCAAGGATTCCGAATGCAACTGCAGCCAAAGTCATTTAGGTGAAAAATGAGGATTATTAGATTCCAGAAATTCACTGGTCTCCTTTAATGCTGAGTGTGTCACGGTAAAGAACAGATTTAAGGCCTACACTTCTTCACCCTCTACTAGTGCAATAACAGAGAATCGAGGTTATCTTGACCAGACAAAAACATTAGTTTCATCTGCATATTACTCCCGAAGCAATGTCTATTTATCTTTGATTGCAATACTAGTCGAACAAAAAGCAGGCTCGTTATGCTCTACAGAATGCAATAAAATTAAGTCAACCAATCACAATAGTGCTTACTTGTGACCGTTGTAATCACAAAAAAAATGTAGACAAGCAGTTCGCGGAGCGTCGTTTTGATGGATAGCTCACGGTCAGACTCTGTGACCTCAGTCTCACGTGTGGCCCAGAATTCTAACGCACAACACAGTGCTACTCATGATTAATCAGTAGCGACAGGCACAGAATGAGAATAATTTGGTAAACTTGCTTCGCATGCATGCGCAAAATTGGTGCCAACATCCGTGAGTGTCGGCATCCCCATAACCCAACTGCTTATCCTCAAAGTCGTAAACAGTGTTATCAAGAAAGACGGCCTCGGCCTCCTGCTCAATGCCCTCGTTGTCTCCTTCGTACGTCGGATTCGAAGTCATTCTAGACAACAACAGGTGGAAGTCACGTTTACTGTCTATAATCAGGAAAAAACACGGTATTATAAAAGTTATAATTTTAGTCATTTTACTTAATTAGTTTAGTGTTAGTGATGTGAATTAATCCTAACCGTAAACCTTATGAGCGTGGCTTACCTTTTGTACATGTTTGTTTTTAAAAATAAATATGTAGGGTTATTAAAGGCATCATAATTTTTAAAAATCTAATATACTTTGTTTAACACGACCAGAAGTGGCCTTGGCGATGCATTTGAAGTTCGGGGTTTCCCTTGCTTCAAGCCACAGCAAATGTCAGTGGGTACTCGGACGAAGTGGTTATGAATGTAAAGGCTGCAGTTTTTGCTCTCACTTGACTATCTATTAATTTCGCCTTGAAAGACTCCAATAGTACAACTCTGTAATGTAGACCGTTAGAGGTTTAACGCCTACCTTTAATTGGGCATGGTAGTAATACACGGATACCAAATGGCACCGTTGTGATCGTAAAATGCACTTTCACTATAGAAAGCTATTTGGTCTTTTTGCAGGGGAAGGGTATTTGTCACCTGACTTTGAATGCGTCGAAGTTGTTAATTGCCCTCTTTTGTAGAGAGAAACCGGGTCTAAGTTGCTTTATTCTTTAGTCCCACGCATAAAGTTCGCAAGTCTATGTTACGAGTTGCTTCGTGTCACGTTGGGGGGAGTCGACTTACACAACAGTAAAATCGTATTGTTGTGGACACTGTTTACGCTATCGTGAAGTATCCAATTAAAAAATAGGACAAGATTTTGTACAGAGCCTGGAAATTACTCATTGGAATGCGAAGAAGCTGACAAACAGTGGGCACTAAACCTCTTACCTTTCGTGCGTTTCCTGTGCGATGAGCCTAATGAATGCGCAAATGCATTATCAAAGCTATCCTCAGTTGCAATTTCAAGACGGGTATGGCAGCTATGGCAACGCACATTCACAGCTCATGTCCTCCTGTTTACGCATGCTCGGATGCATTGTTCTCTCCTCAGGCGTCACTATGGCTGCCAACAAAAGTGACCGAAGGCAGGTTTTCCATACAAATGTGTATTTTATGAAGTACGCATCTAACAACTGAAACACTTCTACTTTCTTTGACCTTTACTGCTCTGCCAGATAATTGTGCCGCCGTAGTCAGCCCAAAGGCGGGCTAGCAGCTAATCCACTTTTACAGCAATAGACAGCTGCAGCCTGCCACCAATTTTGGAAATCTTAGGCATCGTGCGATTGTTTGACACTACTTCGTACTGCTATAAGTGAATATGACACGTCCATACTTACTTATCGAGTAAAAAGCAGCAAGTTTTTATTCCTTTCAAGGTTTATTCTCAAGTTTTTCCTTTACTTCGTGGTCCATGTTTCTTTGACTTGTGCTTTCTCGATTTAACTTCCTTTTCAAAGGCCACCCTCTCCATCCGTTTGGGTCCGATCAGTGGGAAGAACATTTTTGCGTCTAAAACAGCGAACATATTTTTTTACAGAAGTCTAGTCAGGCGATAATTGTCTCAAAAGGCAGTCAGGCACCGGACGCCTCTTAAAGCCTCCCTCTAATAATACCACTTGACGGATCACCAAGGTAACGTCAAAACTGACAGGTTCAAAAAGCAGACAGGTAAGCTCTTCATGTTCTTACTATATTTCCGTCTCTGTGTTCGGCTTATCGGTGTGGCCTTGGGAGAGGGCGTAGGAGATTGAGGCTTTCCTATGATGGACTGTTTTGCAGGTCCTGAGAACAGCCGTCCTAATGATGACCTCTGTGACGTTTTTGTTTTACGACGCTTCGACCTCTCTTGATGCTTCGTCTCTTTTAGGGATAATAAAAAGCTAATGAAAGCTTGTGCAACATTCACAGCTCTTAGCTAATAACTTGTAATGAGTTGTCAAGGCAAAGACTGGAGGTAACACCGAGAGTGAGTGTTACGTACGGTCTTCTTCCTTAATTACAAAAAAAAGGATAAAATCCTGAGTCGATAGAGTGTACAAATTAAAAATGGAAAATAAACAACTTTGATGAGTTGTCTAAGTTCAAGTTCATGCCTCGCGTATGCTTAAGCCCCTCACCTCAAAAGAGCTTAGAATAACTAAAGAATCACGCTCTTCCTTAAGTCATTCATTATTTACCTCTCTGAAGAGGAAGTTATCAATTACCGTCGCCTACGCATTATTATTCTGACTCACTAGAATCAGTTCCTAAGGCAGAACTTGCCAAATTTTTACGCCGTATGCATTTGACACTGCGAGACAAGCACAATGAGAAACGGTGTGGTTAACAAATGAGTCATAAAGAAAAGTGAATGCCAACCTTGCTCGTCGGATGAGGTGCCGCTGACTTCGTCTGCAAGGAGGTTAAAAAACTTCCACTTAATCCACTAAACAGAGGTCGTGAGTAGAGCTTTTTCTGCACTTTAAAGTCACAACCTCTTCAAATGAAGTAAAAGGGAAGCAATTTCGAAGGGAAAGGAGAACGTGGAACATGAACGAAACGCTGCAAGCCTACGTGAATTCGGAGACGCTTCAGCTAGATGTGATGAAGTTGTACACCACAAGTTATCATCATAGCCTCATTTTTTGGTTGGAAGGGTTCAAATAAAAAAAAACGGTTGATTATAACTAGTTTATGGCATTACCGTCCACTTTTATGTTTGGACCTGAAATGGAGCAATGTGATTGGTTAATTTTAACCTTGATTTCTAAACCTTGCATCCTCTCCCCTCCTCCCACCCAAATATCTTTTTAGTCCAAAAATTAAGCTAAAAAAAGGATTAAAACTGCAGGGTCAAAGAATGCATTACTCATAAAAAGCTTGCAAAAAATCTGTACACCACAAAATGGTTTTGGTTAAAGTGATTGCTTAACTCACGTTCGAAGATTGGAAAGTCCTTAAAAGCCCTCCGCAATTTCCCTATTTAAGGGAAAATTTAACCCTTTTATAGCATGATAGTAACTTACAAAAGAATGTTTTGTAGAAGTGATGTGGTGAAAAGTATATCCACTACTGTGAACGGCGACGAGGTGATAGGTGTGACCACACCGTTTTTGTGTCCATTTTAAAACATTATTACGAATTAACTTGAGCCTCAAAATGAGAATTTTTACCATCTGCAATCCACCAGAAGACGAGTTTTCCTCTCCATCAGCGGTAAAAATTGCACTCACCTGTGAAGAGGTGCTCGCAAATGCGTGCGTAAATCTTCTCGCTGCTAAAGTGCTGACTGTAGGAGTACCTCATGGTGATAATCAAGTGGGCAATTATGGCCGCGTAAACGCCCAGCAGAGCCACGTCAATGAGAAGTAGATAGATCACTGTCAAGTCCTCAATATCTGTCGACATCATGTCCATCCAGTCTTTCCACATGTCCGAGTAGAGTTTTCGTTTGGGAGCGGAATTATTACCCATCGCTGGTTTCTTCCGTCTAGCTTTTCTGGTAGCAAACATTTTAACAAATTATTTGTTTGCTTAAGGGGAAAAGATGATCGAAAAATCTTACCATTAAACCAATTTTTCTAGTCAAGAGCTACTCGCAGATACTACTTACTACCTCAGACAAGTGTGATAAATGCAAGTATGTTTCTGGTAGTCAGTAAACCGGATTAAGAACAAGGGTTCAAATCTTCATACATCTTATGCCAACGGTGAAAAGGCGCATAGCTCAACACAAGAGATTTAAAAACAAAGACAAAGATTGCCGTGAAATGCGTTGACTGTAGGCAGTCAGTTAATCCAACATCAAATTACAGAAAAACAAAGGCTTATTAAGTCGCAGCTTCACCACAGATGCCACATTTCAGAGACAAAGTTTAAGCAAACACATGAAGTAGAATAGAGTATTCAAAGAGATGCAAATCAAGCGATGGAAGTGATCCTATTCCAGTGCTGTCTTGACGTTGAGTGCAAAAAGAAATCGGGCAAAGACCAGGCGCAAACAACATCATGGACGGTGTCGATCGTCGGCGAGAGCGGAGGTAAATCCATGGTTTTTGGATGCCTCACAAATGCCGCACATCAGATTCATTTTAACAACAGGCGCATTGAAGCAGTTTCCGTTGCACACTTGTGAAATTGGAGGGTCAAACGACGCCCCAACAAATTGCTGACTCTTCATCGAACCTCCAAGATGGTGATCGCAAAGGCGATGACCTTCAGTGTGGACAGGAGAAGGAGGAGGAAGAGACCATAAATATAATTTCTGTCGCAATATCCTCTGGTCAGGCCCATTCAGGTAAAATGCCGTGTCGAAGCTTAATCCGTCGCGCATACGAGCCACTCACTTGTTGAGGCAATTATCGATTTCCAATATCAAACGGTGCATGCTCGAGATTTTCCCGCAAATTTTAAAATCAGTTGCAATTTTTTTGAAAACGGTGAGTAAATGAAACAGATTAACTCTTTTGGTCTTGCCCCTTCCTAATAAAGTGATTTGACATTTTTCGAATTTGGGGGTGGAGTTTCCGTAGGGACACTAAAAGCAGGCCTTTGAGAAATTCCAGTTGCTCCCCGTCCAAAGAACAGTGTTATTAAAGTGAAGCTCGTGCTTCATTTTTTTGTGTGTTTTTGTCCCATATTTTTGTAGCAAGGCTACTTGCTAATTTGTGCTATGCTGCAAGGCCAGCAACTGTGGGACCAACGTGAAGTTGCCAAGGCTTTGACAAAGAGGATAGACTACAAAGGGGAGATCCAAAGCCAGCGCCTATTAAAATGATGTTAAGGATTAAACTGTTCGATATTTGCAGCTTCTCTTCTACAATTTTTTTTAGAATAATGTAACAGATTTAAGCGACCTAATGTAGTGGCTCTGACAGCGATGATTTTTCGAGCCTCTGTACCACCAAAAATGCAACCGCATTCAAAGGCTGAAGTGGCTTGTGAGACTTATAAATGGGCGCTTTAAAAAAAAATTCCAATTGTAAAAACTTACACGTGTAGGCACCACAGCCACGTGATTAGAGGCAAAACAAGTTGTGAAATCGATAGGTCAGAGAGCAAAGCAGGATGTCAAACACAGTCAGCAGAAATTTGCCTTTGGGGATGGATACTAACCCTGAACTCTTTTGTTTCGATCCTACCATTGCTACCGCTACCGCTGCCACTGTTCGAACAGACGATGAGAGCATGATGAGGATGATGATGGAACCGGATCCAGTTCAAGACGTGGCGTGTGGTGACGTGGTGTCGGAAGCAAATAATGCCAATTCGGCTCCTCGAATGCTTTCCAGTTGTACACCTGTTCAAAAAACGTTGGAGGCACCAGTAACAGCCACTAATCCATCATCAACGGAGGGTCTTATGACTTCAGCAGAGTTGCCTCAACATCTGGATTTCGGTCGGTTGATGGAGTTCAATCGTGAGTTGACCACGAGGTATGCCAAACTGCAGGCGCAGTTCGCTGAACTCGTGAGTGAACACAATCGTTTGCAATATAGGCACAATATGATGGAGCTAGCGGCTTTGCACAACTCTCAGGTAAGCCAGCGGTTGGCTTATAGCTTCTTGTTTGAGAAGGAATTTGCACTTCTGTTACTCCTTCTCTCGTCTGAACAGGGCACTGAACCAAAGCAGGGCAAAAGTGGCGACGACGCTCTGTTGGCAGCACAGTATCGCTCCGACCTACGCAAGATGACCTCCGAGAAGGAAATGGTGTGCCACCAAGCGTCACAACTGCGCGAGGACCTCCGTCAGACGGCTACTCGTCTAAGATTCCTGCAGACCTGTGTATCCCAACTGCAACAGCGATTGATCCAACGCGATCGCGTTATCCAAAAGTTAATGCAAGAGCGGGCGCTCAATGTTGTACGCGATGTTCAGACACGGATGTTGCGCAGTGAGTTGGTGGAGACACGAGGCGGCATTCGAGTTATCGTGAGGTGAGTGCTTTCGCCTGGACGTGTTTTGCCATCCACGTCTACGTAGGGCCGAAATTTACCGCCACCTTAACCAATTTACCACTTCTTCCCACTTTTCATGCATTGTAGATACCTTCCGACAGTTGAAGAGTTTAGCAATATCGAGATAGTCAATTCAAACACCATCTCCATTCGCAGACCCATCTTCACGTTTACCCAACTTAAGAAGAAACATCAAGGCGAGCATTTCAGTGTCTTCAGCATTCACAGCAATACCACCTCCAATGGTGTCATCTTTGCTGATGTTAGAGACTATGTTGAGGCCTGTGTTGATGGGTAGGTGGACTTGATCACACCTTTCATCTAGCCATTGATACTACCGTTAAACGCTCTGACGGATTTGACAAAAAATGCCAGACAATGGGGCTTCAGCTATTGCATACGAGTCTAGGCCGACATTCTAACCACAATAGGTGGGCTTTGGATCACCTAACAAATTGAAGGGCACTGAAAGGACTCACACAATCGAGGTTGATAGCCTTACAAGCTTTGGCTGTGTTCATAAAAATTGCTTAATAAACTCACTTGTTCAACTGTTTTTTAATGTGTGCGACTTCAAGCAACACCGCTGCAATAATTGCGAATGGACCAAAGGGCACAGGAAAGACGCACACAATGGTGGGTCCTGCACATGACGCTGGCATCATTCCACGAGCTCTCAGTCTCATCGCCCAACTCTGCACTGATCGAATGGCCTTATGGGAGTTTAAGATCTCCCTCAGTGCCATCCAGGCAAGTCGCGATTAAAAGAGCATGTTGGAATTTGATAATCCTGACTGCAATTTAAACGGGACATTACATTTTAGTCCCCAAAGATCGACGAAATGAAGGTTGTTTTGCCCTGTAGATTGTTGACGATGAAATCTACGATGTCCTCTCCGATATGGATGACAGATTTGAACTAAAAAGAGGCTGGTTTGCCTCCGACAACTCTGAACGTCTAACAAGGATCACTCTGCATGATGATGGTTCTAGCATTGTCTTAAAGAATGTCACTGAATTGGAGGCAAACACGGAGGACAGGTTAATCCAGATCTTTTGGTAGGTTGGGCAGCATATCGCTTAAAGTGAATCCTCCTAAGTACATTATGAAGGTCAGAAAAAGTAGCAACCTTGGTGAAATGCTTGCCAAGTCATTTGGATAAGACAAGCGTGTTTTTTTTTACCATAAGTGATGCCTGGCAGGCTCATTCCAAGTCAAGTCACGTTGATTCCGCTCACTTTATTGTACTGGTGCGCATCAAGGCCTTTGGGAAGGTGCCGCTGGCCAAACTAGCCAAAATGGGAACAACGACAGGCGCACAGACATCGCAATCGCTTGTGCGATGTCATCAAATTATCAGCCATGGTTTCCTCATTTTGTGTGATTTGGTCAGTTTTGATCGACCTCGAACAAAAAAGGCTGCAAGTACCCCTGTATGGGTAGGCAAAACAGAGAGACAAAACCAAATGGTGTAAGCTTTCTCATTAAATAACTATGCTACTGGATTAAAATATATTGTGAAAAAAAATTCCTTTGTAGAAATGATATCTCTGGAACTGTTTTGGGAAGAGTTTTTGAAGCCATGCGTCACAATGCAACGCATCCACACTCACCGATCCCAGTGCCCTATCGAGACTCTAAACTGACCCATCTACTTAAACCGGCTCTGCTCTCGGAGGCCAAGTGTGCGATAATTTCCACCATATCACTGCGTACGAGCATGTTCAAGTCAACATACCGTACCCTACAGTTGACTGAGAAGGCGGCAGCAGCTGGCTTCACGTCATGAGGCGCCTAGATAATAATAATAAGATTATCAATTTTGTACGAATAAGTAAGAACTCGTTTGTAGATTAGAGAGGTCTAGAACACTACAAACACCTCTTTTGCCTACATGGGATTCAGTAGTAGATGGTAGGTGGGTTGTTTAAACTGCCTTTTCAAGTAAATCAAAATGTGGGAGATGTTAATTGGTGATCTGATACCGCTGCAATGGAAATCAAATGTTAACGGTCAGTATAAATCAAATTGCTTTGTTTTTATTGCGCAATAATTCCCAGAAGTAATTAGTTAAAAGTACAATAAAACTCATGCTTAGGGTCAGATTTCGTGCAGTAGCTGATAGTGAAGCCTGAAAGAAGACACTTTAATGCAAATATGTATAAGTTTGAATGGTTAGTTTTACTTTATCGAATACTTATGGGTAAGTCGGTGCGCGTCTTTCGTCACTTTGTTCAGCATTGAGCGTCTCTCTGCGCAAGGTGGGCCAAGATGGGTGAGATAAGTTCGGTATCTGAGGTATTGCCAGTGTTGCTTCTTGTCACAAAGATCCTTGTTCGTGTCGTAGGAACTTTCTGTGGTTTTTCGCAAGTGGGCGCGAACAAACTTGACGGGCTCGATGAAGAAGTATGGAACCTTGAGACCCACAGGAAAAAGCGCCTCAGAAGATGTGGAAGAAATCATTAGATGTATTAGAGTACGCCTTACTTTAGCTTTGTGCTTTTATTGGGCTTGCTGTCTAGCCTTTTCGGATGCTGTTTTTTAGCAAACCAAATTAGTTGATGCCTTTCCAACATGGAGTGAGCGAAACAAGGAGTGGTGGGATGCGGCTACCTCAGACAGCATGCATAATATGGTACGCCTTCTAAAAGACGATCCAAGCATTCTTCATTGGAAGGTGAGCATATGTCTTCGTTTGGGACCTTACTGTTTTTGCGGCCTCTTATTTCGAAGCTGGTTCTCGTTGTTTTATCATTTTTCAGACTGAGGTGTTTGTTATTTCTACTATTTGTCGATTTGCATTAATCACATTCAGTTTGCACTCGAAATCCCTTATTTGACTTGTTGTGCTTCTCTCTTTGCAGTACTGCCAAACTAGTTTTCGTTTCTCGTCCATCTTTTTAGAATCCTCTGGACGGCGTAAGTCGCGATGCTTTTGACCATTTTACTAGTCGATTTTATCTTTATTCTGCCATATTCTGATTTTTACGAAAGTAAATTATTGTTTTTCTTTTCCTCGGCCATTTACAACGGCATTGTCTCTTCTTTACCCAGTGGGTAAGCGGATTTTGTGATTACGCCTTTGGCTTTCCTTGAGCATTCCATCTTGTTTGTTTTTCTATTTTTTCACCAAGACTGCCCTCCATTATGTTGCGAAGAGCGGCAATCTTCGATGTCTTGACCTTTTGGCAAAGCAGCATGGAGCCAATGTGAACGTTCAGTGCAAGGTGAGTTGGTTGGACGTAATTTCCCCCACCTCATTTTCCCCTTTTTTGAGCTTATTTGCTATCCTCCCAACAATGATAAGTCTTCTAGTTTTGGAGCTATCAAAAAAGCTACTTACACGACGGCATGTAGTTTGCAATGTCGCGTCGCTCTATAAGCTGATTATGTGTACGACAGCTTGATTAACTGGTCGTTCATGTCTTTGGGTATTCCTTGCACTACGGACTAGGTTTTGAGCTCCTTCCTTTTTTCATTAGCCACGGTGATAGTTTCATCGCATTTGATATCCATCTTCAAGCGAGAAATTCCCAATGTTACCGTTATTTGCACCGTTTGTTGACGTTGATTAGCATTCATATGGAAATATTTGCAACCGACAGGCGGTTTCCGAGTCCTCTTTTATTGGAATCGAACGTTTATTTCCGCCACTAATTGTTTGAACGAACGTCCATTTGAGTACTGATTAAATAAGAGGTACTTGGTAACCTGGATCGCACATTGTCAATTGGTCTTGTTTGTGCCCACACTTGGGATGTTTTTAGGTGGTGAAAAGGAAATACCTAGTCTTGACGCCAAGTAGTTTCCACGATTTTTAAGTCGCAATCTTTATTTTCAAAAATTGAGTAGGTGTTGGCCTTCAGGAGTAATTTTGAAACCTTTTTGTTTTTTATTGTTGCATTTATTGAACCTCCATATTTGGCAAATGTCTAATCGTGCGGCATTACTCTGTGATGTACACCATTCAAGCTATCTTCACTTGATGTCTTGAATAACATTAAAGCAAAGTTTTCTGCCAGTGGGCAATAGTTGGGTTGTACGGCTAACCAGTACCATTATACTTTGCCTTTAAAACTGAAGATAGTCTCATACTCTCTGCACTCGATGTTTGGAGATCCTCTCGCTGTTAGAATAGCCTCATTTAGCCTCTCCTTCCATTTGCCATCATTTGCCAAACGTCGCACTGCTTTTTAGTTTTTACTTCAATCAGTATTTGCTCTTTGCATTGGCAGTATCCGACTTCAATAGTCAAAAGCATTTGTTTGTCTTGTTTGTCATGAAGATTTGGTTGTTTTCAAGTGGTTCTTTGCTACTTGCCTCACTCCATTGCCATATTCGCTGGCGCCACCTGCGATTTCTTCCAGTCTGAAGTTGGACAACTCTTTCCCAGTGATTTAGTGATCATCGCGATTTTTGTGTAAATTAGTTACTTACTGTCAATGCTATTTACATTCACGTGAGTCATGCCACGGATTGTCAACATGCACGCCACCTGTATGGGTGTTACTCTTTACTCTTTAAGAGCCACTCATCCGTTTTGTTCTGCTCGATAATGCCCCTTGTGACCTCTCAGACGCTCTATCAACACTAAGTGGTGTCAGATGAAGGAAGTCAAATTTATGCATAGTTAAGCGTGTGTGCGTGCTAAGGAATCCCGAAACATCAGATGTAGAATAAGTAGTGGAGAAAAGGAAGATACATGTGATCCCACAGCTGATCCAACTCTAACCCTTCTGTTTTCTTATATTTCATGCTCTCCTTCGAAAGAACGTAAGTATGCATTATTTTATGTTTTCTGACTTTGCTACGTCATGCATAATGGCACCGTTCAAACACAGGTTTGTCAGTGTGTTTATTTGCATAAAATCTGCGCATTATGTATGGTTTCCTGCGCGGCAGCTTGTTTGGTAGTTATTTGGCCTTTTTTGATCTTTGAGCTCCTTTTGCCTCAAAGTTGCCAGTAAACTTTTTTGGGAAAGGGATTTCGTGTGACTTTAATGCTTGGTTACAAAAAAATAAGAGGAACTAAGAGGCTCATTGTCTTACACACGCAGCCACATGCATGTGCGCACATGCCAGGTATGTAAATGTTAGATGGTAGCTCAAGTTTCGGCGTCAAAATAGTCACCGCGTAATAGGCGAGGGGAGCTGAAGTGTACACAAGCTGACGGTGAGGTTAGGGACACAGGTGATTTCTGACCCCCTCTCTCTCTCTCTCTCTCTGCGCTGGAGAAAGTTCGACGCCATAATGTGCTCTTTGAAGATTGTAGAATCCAACTGGTAGAAGGGTGTCATTAATTGGTTTTAGAACCTTCAGGCTTTCACGCTGCAATACATTTTGGCAATGCTTATAGACTTAACTTGGGTCAATTCACTTCAGGTGGGGACCCTGTTAACACGAAAAGCGTCTCGCTTATGCATTGGGAATTCAGTCGCTTCACACAATGGCAGCTCATTTTTAGGCATTAAGACAGGCGGTGGCGTGTCAGCAAACCTTTGACCAATTTCGGTTCAGTGATATGATCAGGAGGATTCTTAGCAGAAACCGTTTTCCTGTCACCGAGGCTTTCGAATTAGGTCGATGCAGTAATTTAATCTCGTTGAAAAGACAAACGTGATTTATAGAGCTGTAGTTCTCTCTGTTGGAGAATCTTTTTTGTTTTCTCATCAGCATCTTAAAGGTGTTAAAATTGAGCATCCAGGCCTTTTCTGAATCCCTTGGAATTTAGATGCTTAGATGAAATTTGAAGCCGTAGAGTCACTGCATACCATTTCCATGACCCACCTCTGTCTGGAGGACAAATGGGAAGGCAGGAAGTTGTTTTTAAGGCCCTCCTCGGTCCTTGCATTGGAGGGTGAGTCCCAATGAATTTAGCCTTCACATGTATTGAAAGAAAATGTCACTCCTTTCGAAACTTTGAACTCTCACCTGCTTCTGTATTAGTGAAATTGAATTGTAGTAAAGTGCTTTACACTGAGAAGGCACTCAGTATGTTATAGAGGGACCTGGCAAAGGGTCACTTACTGTTAAAGTAGACCTACGAATGCACTGTCAAGAACTGACTGCCGATGCTCAAAAGTTTGGCCAATGGAGCGCTGTAATGTTAAACTTATCAATTTGGTTAACTTGGATTCTATTGAGGTTGTTTTGTGAAAAAAAGTGTCATACTTTAATAGGTAGATTTAGGGTGTAACTGATTTATTTCGCCTCCAATGCTTTGTACTAGCCAAAAGTGCAATTGCCGCCTTAAAAGGGTGAAACTCTGGGAGGTGTGATGCTTGGTAGTTGTACAACCTCCCTTCTTAAAGCTTCTGTGAGTGGGGCATCGCTATTGTTTGACTTATTTTCTATGCTTTATTTAAGGGCATTGAGAAGAAGTTGTACCATGTTCTCTTTGCTCCCTCCCTCGGATTGAGGTCGTGTATGCAACGCTTCCAATCTTTACATGCTCCACAGCACTGCGTCATTTAATTTGGCCGAGGACTGAGTTTATGTCACACCGCAAACTTCATAGAAGTTTAGTCTTACCAATCACTTTTGAGACGTTCTGGTAAAGAGAATTAAAAGGGTTTGAATTCAGACACTACGAGGCTATTCTCCCTCTAAGGCTTGAGCACATGAGGTAGTAAAGGTGGAGTTGAGTTGTCTCGTTTGAGTAGGCACCGCATCTAGTCGGGCCATTTAACGAAAGCTTGTGCATTTGAGCTATTGGAGAACGCAGACACTGCATGATAAAGCAACTGTTTACTGGGAGGAGTTTCAAGTGTCTGCCTCACCGTTTGGCGTCTGTCCTTTGTTCATCTCTAGTGCCTGACATTGAATTGGCGCTTTGTAATTGTCTTTGATTATGTAGGGTTCTACACCTCTCCACATCGCCGTGATGTTCTCACAGCGTCTCTTCGCTCGGTCTCTGGTTCAAATTTACCGTAAGTTTGTTCTTCGCCTCCCTGCAAATACTTCCACCAATTGGTCTTTCCCCCTTTTTGAAATGTCAATTTATAGTAGGTGGCTTCAGAGCTCATCAGTTTCGAGTACGTGATGGTTTCGTATTCTCTTCTTCTTCTTTCTTGTTATTTCCGATGCAAGAATCATGTTTCGCTGCCTTCCATTAATGCAAAGGAATAAAGGCGCAAAGGATAATTAGCATACCAATTTGCTTCTGTGAACGTTGTGTGGTATACGCGTGTGGGAGTGTGTGTTTGTTTGCAGGATTTTTGAATAATCAGACCTGCACTTGGTAGCCACACGTGATTTTCATTTCCACCGTGGTAGTACATTTTGTGCATCGCATTGCCTTTTTTCCTTTCGCATTTTTGCCCAAGGCATGGTCCTTTGTGGAGGGCGTATTTTCGCCACGCCTTTATCAGTCGTGAGCTGACTAAACGACCATGACTAATTGGATATCATGTTGTCATCCGGTCCTCCATTTAGGTTCGCTTCTATCCCCTCTGTGCTGACTCTCCACCTGCCCTTCTTTAATTCATCTTTTTGATCGTGACTTTGTGTTCTTTTCCCACCTAGAAGGCGCACCTTGCCTAAGTCCTTGAAGTTATTGTAAGTTTTAGACTACCTTTGTGATGTCTCCAATCTTAGTTGGATAAATTGTGAATGAGGAGGACATGATTTTTACCAATGAGTATTCTCTGAAGTTGAGGAAAGTGCAGTGACTCGGTCCCAAGTTCCTTCCTGGCACATGGTCCTCACTTCACTGCCTAATCAACATCTGCATACACTTCCCATAAGTAGTGGACTTTTCGAATCGGTTCAATGTCACTCCCGTAGAGCACGGAATCGACGGAGACCCTTTTTTCGGGAGTCTTCACATATTCTTCCATCCATACCACTAAACATTGGGCTGACTTTTCACTGCCAAGAATGCAATTTCAAAAGTCTTTCTCGAAGACTAAGGCGAAAGCATTTTAAAGACAGAAAAGGTGCGGGAGAAGTAGAGGAGGTCCTGATATTTTCCTAGAAAGCGAGGTCTACGGGCCTATTTATTCTTCTTAAAACCTCTCAATTAGTTCAATTGTCATTTCCACTGCTGTTATTAACAATCTCATGTTAATATTTTTGTCCGGGAATTTGTGACTTATTTTTACGCCTCTTTTTTGGCTTCTCGGATTTCGTTTTGGTATCAGTATTACAAACTGTAAGGTGAAAACCTTGTTTTACCTATCTCTTGCTTTTCCTTTCTTTCCATCTGAAAAGTACACCCAGAGGGTTAATCAAGTGCGGTAATACCTCAGCTTTCACCTCAAAAGTGCATGCCACGCACCTCCACACACCGATGCTACCATCGCTGCTGCTGCTGTAGTTATAATTGTTCAGCATAACGCCTTCCTAAATTGGCTCTTTTGATGTTTTTTTTTCCCCTCCCCCTGATCGCTTTAGACGCACGCACTGACATCATGGACTACACAGGTCGCTTTCCACGTGACCTCATCTCGACTCCGGAGATGAAGGAGGATTTGGAGGGTAAGGTTCGTGAGGCGTGACACACCCTCACATCTTCCTCTCCATGGCAAACGGACCATCGATTTTATCTGACCTTTCTTCTCTGTAGATTTGTTGACGTTCGGCCGATTGGCGGTCATACGAAAGCAATGTAAGTTTGACACTTTCTCCATGCTGTGCTCACTTTTTGCTTACCATCCTTTTCAGCTTCTTGCTTGCATATTCTCAAATTGGGAGTTATTGTTTGTGTGTTTGATGGACGAGTTTTTTCTTCTACCTGAATGCCTTTAGTGCCGATTTTTAGGCATTTCACGTGGAGCTGCGACATCGGGTGCCAAATGTTCGTGTGAAATGCAACTCTTCATCGCGAGAGTTGCGTACTTTTAACCACAGCTTTTGGTTGTCCACAGGTTTTCCTAATCCTTCTAACGTATTACTTTAGCACTGTCACTCACAGAGTTTGCTGTCCGGTTCACTACACGATAAAACTAATTTCGATATGAAATTGTGCAAGTGTGTAATGTTTTGTGGGTAGTTTGACTTTTCAAAACCATCTAACAAATAAAGGGAATGACCTTTGGCACAATCGTTGCCTGAGCTACGGAATGAATTGACTACTCTGACTGGGCAGTGGAATTTGTAATTCGTAATTTCAGTGGCTACAGTGTTCGGCTGCCAGGAACACGCACTCAAAAAACGACTCAGAAGTTTCGTTCTGGTCAATTCAATCTCATCTGCTTATGGGCGCAACTTTTTTTCCTTAGAATTTGCGAATCTCGAGTTATGGGCACTTTTCATTTTTTTTTAGTTGAGGTCTTCAAAAAACCCCATAAGACCTCCTTCAATTCGCGCAAGCCTCACATTCAACTGGGGAATGGTGAGGAGACTCTCAACAAGACCTCGAAATCCCGGTCCATCAAAATGGATGTCTATACACGCCTTCTGCTTTCCACTCTCTACCACGATCAGGAGTATATCAACACTCTCGTGCGCCGTCTACGTTATGCCACTTTTGTCTACCCTTCCGATCTCCTTAACGATACAACCTGTGAAATCGTTTCCTCGCGCCATGGTTGGCGTAGCACCTCACAAAAGAGGGGCTCTGTCTTTGTTGGTGGAAGTGGTGAAGGAGAGCGAAAATTTGCCGTCTTTAAGGTCCCACACTTACCGCACCCCCCTCGAAACATGAGTGCGGGTACTTTGATGGCAGGTGGATTGTGGAAACGCAACACCTTGGAAGCAGGAGAAAAGGGAAGGCGGTGGCGACGAGAACAGAAGGCATCTCAGAAGATGGCGAGGAAGAATTCCGTTTCGACGCTATCCGTGTTTAGTGGAAGGGAAAAGAGTGGCAGTATGAGTGCATTTGAAAGGCACTCATTTGTGGGCATTGAACACCTCACTGCAAGAATGGATGTGGCGACAACGAGGAAGCGTGGAGCTGCAGGGGAGGAGGATGGTCGCATCTCAAGGCATCCATCCAATGTCTCCGAATGTGTCACGGTATGTTGCTCATGTTGCTTTGACCTTGTGAGGAATCACCTCTTTTTTCGAAGGCGCAAATTGTGCTGTGTAAACGATGATCTTGTTAAACTCCAACACATTGGCGAAACATTTAGGCCAACACCTTTTCCTTCTATAAAATGTAGAAAAGGAAGGGAGGTTTGCTCTCCATCCGTAGAGAAGGCTCAGGGATTCTATGCGTTAGGCAGTTATTCACAGGTCTGACCACCAAGGCGGTGCGTCGGAAATGCAGCCATCACGTCTAGAGCTCAGTCTGACAACCGTGCAGTTGCCTATAAAGTGTTTACGACTGAGCTTCCTGTCGTAAAACAGCTCGCTGTAAGGTACGAGGATTTATAGGCTCCATGGGTACCTTAACAGGAACTGTGGTTTATCACAACACTGTGGATGGTATTTTTTGTCCGTAGAGCTCTAGAATTCCCTCTTTGGGACTCGACTACCGAGCTATCTAGTTAAGTAGGTGAACACTATTTGTGGTCTTCCACCAACGATGAGGTCAAAAATTCAGCAGTTAAACAGACGCTGATTGAATCGCCCCCTTCTCCCCGACTTTGCTTAGAAGTCCTCTTCGGATGACGACGTAGTGTTCGACTCGGTCTCCTCGTCGCCCAGTCTTGGCGGTACCGGTGGTGGGGGCGTTCGACGAACCTCCAGTCTCTCCTCCCTGGTCGCATGTACGGAAGACCTGTTCAGTCAATACTTTCCTTCCTCCTCTTCACCTTCCCAATGACCGGATCTGCTCCCATTGTCTCTCAATCTCTGTTGTCGTCTAATTGTACATATCAGTGGGTATCTTCGCATTATTTGTTTTGGTTTTTGTTCCCTTCCGCTGTGCCTTCATGTGGGGTTCCTTTTTATATTGATTAATCCATTTAGAGGGATACGGCGAAACTGTGGAAGTGACCAGTTGTTTGGCTATGAGTGTGAATTGCTGCTAGAAAGTGAAATGCTTGTAGGTTCCAGGAATGCGGTGCTGATGGAAATGCGTAATGTGGATCATCTGGGCGCATTTTAATACAGTCATTTGCGTATTTTGACGGTGCTGTCAATGCTCTTTGGGTCAGTTCCAGTGAGTTGGAATGCTTGATGCACAGAGATGGTTGTGGTAAGTGTAAGAGTGGAATAGATCGTATCAAGCCTTGTGGAGTACTTTTTTTTCTCCTGAGCGCGGTGTTCTATTTGAGGCAACAGTTATGCGACTTGAGACCATCTCTAACGGCATAATCATAGATTCTACAAGATTCAGAAGTTCTGAAGGGATTTCACCGTGATGTGTATCGTTCTGAATGGATTGATTGCATTGTGGAGGTCTGCACCTGTGGCGAAGGTGCCACCCACTTAGGCAAAGGTCGGTCAACTTGTCATTGCCATGCTCATCGATGCTGGCAGCTTAAAACTGCCTCTCTTTTCACCTCAGTATTTTTATTGATAAAAGATTATTTTCTATACCGCCGAGGTTTGAAAACTTGGAAACTACTTTGGTCTTCCCCAAGTAAGTTGGGTCAAAACTGCACCAACTGGAGAGACCAGTTTTGCACACTCGCTTTGTTGTCCGGTTGGATTAAGTGACAAGAGTGATGGACCGCAGGACGAACCCATTTTACGACTTCAAAGGAGAAATAAACAAGTCCAGTGCATCCAAGTTAGAAACAATTTTACCATAGTGAGGCTAAAGCAGAACTTTGACCTCGATTACCCCATGAACTGGAGTATTCTGCCCTGCCAATTCTGCGGTTAAGTTACTGCTGATTTTTGATTGGAGGTGAAGTTATCCAGTTCAATCCGGTGAGCATGTTAGTCGCAGGTCAGTAATCGGCTCACGGCATTGGAACTTGAATTGCTTCTCACTTTTCGATGCATCTCATGATCACTGTTAATTAGTAGTGTTTCGCAGCGTAGATGTGAGCACATGTGGGGATGAAGAACTGTGGGGCTTCGGTAAGGCGCCTTTTAGCCAATATGAAAGTCGTTCTCTCTTGTTATTGGTGGTATATGCATGTTAAGGGAAAGAATACATCACTGTCGTTTGTAAGACGAAATCGCCAAAGTCAATTGAAGTAACAGGTGAAAATTATTCGTCAGACGCTTGCTGCTTTTCTCCGCACGCCGTTCGTAGGCGTCAGTTCACTTGTTGTACCCTCGAAGAACACGTCCTAAGGACACGTCATTTAATTTAGAATAATAAAGATTGCGGCTTTATTAGGTGATATACCGTGCATAAATTTAACCAACAAGCTATTTATTTGGTGCCATACTTGGTCCTACCTTCTGCCCGAACCGGGTCGACAGCGTGGTGCATACAAACTATCTCCCTTAATCGTTGTAGCAGTTGTATTCTACTTATAATTAATAAGTAGAACTTGACATTTTATGGAATTAATCCATTTTGGTTCATCAGTAGACACTAGCCGAAAAAATGTTTTCAGTGCTTATCCACTTTTGATGAAAAATGTTGTTAGATCAATTTTTCCGCCCTACGCCATGTTAATTCTCCAAAGGCTGCTTTCCGCCTGTCTTTTCTTCACATATCAGTGTAATCTCTTGTGTCCGGTTATGGCACAACTAACGTTTTACTCTAAAAATGTGACTGCTCGTAGCTCTAACCATACAAAATATAATAAATTCCTTGATTATCTTGCTGAAGGAGTAGTGCTTGAGCGCTTCTTTCTAGGCAGCTTGTTTTTGTCGCTATACTCTTTTGAATGGTTGTTATCCTTTTTCAGCTCAATGCCACTGATAAAATCGTTATTAAAGCCAAAAAATCAAAATTCTGGATTCCTGCATAATTTGACATGTAGTTAAAACAGCTCGTCGTATGGCTTTGGTGGAACCATTCCTTGGAAGTGTTCTACAAACGGTAGTCTTCAAGCTGCTGCAATGAGTCAGCCGCCTGGTTCAAAGTCCATTGCTCTCAAGAGAACCAACCATCGTCCTTGAAATGCACCAATTAGCTTGCTCGAGAGCGCGTGCATGCACGCACTCATTTTCTTTTTATTTTTTCGCTTCATTTTAACTTGAACTACCTCAGACATGTCCGTAAGGTCACGACCACATTCACCAGTGTCACCGCCCTCTCCTCACGAGGCAGAATTTGAGCCGTTACAGGCCTTCCTCCTCAAGAACACTACCGTCTACGCCTACCCACGCCAGCGTAGGCGTCCACGCAATCGGACGGAAGATGCAGACTCTGTGAAAGCCATCTGCCAGCGTCTTCTTTATTTTCTCACCTTCTACACAGTCCTTGCATTGTTCTTTGTAGGATATCTCAACTGGTATATGTACTTCCAGGTTAGTATCATTGTTTATAAATGATATATTTATCTTTCCATTTGTTTACCCCTCCACCTTTCTACCCACTAACTTCGCTCTTATCCATCTCTCCTTTCGCTTGGTTAATTAACCATTTTTCCGTGTAATTCTGCATCACCCTTGCGTGCCACCTCTTCTGCAAAAAGTGACGAGGAGCCAGTCGATAAGATGGAACTTTTGCAAGTTTTAGAGCAAAGTACCGACAATTGTACCTCCCTTTAAGAATCTCTCGATAAGTGTCTACTTTTCTTTGTTCAACAGTTCACAAGATTGGGGCAATGTCCTCTGAGGCCGGCTGGCACGTTTGGGAAAGGAGACTGACTGATCTACAAGACTAAATTGACGTCTTACTCAGTGCTGTGTAAAACTGTATGAGGTTCCCAAGGCTCAAAAACAGAGGGTTATTTTCCACTTGTCAGGAACCAGGATTTGAGTACAGATTCGCCTTAAGAGGCTCAGAGGAGCTGCCACGAAGCTTGTTCCATGTCGGTGTCGCGAAACTTGTTTACGTGGAATTTCATTACTTATCACTTTCGGGAGCAAATTTTGCCTTTATTGTTGGTTCCAACAATTTCTGTCCTCCACATGATGCTCTACTTCAAATGGTCATCCAAAGAGTATAACCTAACTCTCACAGCCGATTAGTGTTTGCGCGTTCATAAATCAACCAAAAACACACCTTCCCACACTTTTCTCTCGCTCTTTGATTAATGCGGCTGCTGGTGCTGGTGCTTGTGTTATAACAGCGTGGTTTCGTGGAGGAACAGGTTCAAAGTACTCTGGAAGAGAGAGTAGAGCGTTGCGTTTTTTTCTTTTTGGTTCACAAGAGGTACTTCATTGACACATGGACATCCGGTTTGATTGTTGCCCCCATCCAATCGCTGTATGGACCATATTTTAATCCTCGCAAATGTGACCGTCCTGCCCTTTTGTCCTTCAGGTGCCTCGTGACCATCCAGCTCTCACTGGAATGCAGTCCGCCTTGCAAATGAATCCCGGCCTAAGCCACATTCCCAATCCCGACCTCTTTTCGACTCTTCTCTACTTTCGCACCCGCGAACCTCTGCCCTACTACAAGAAGTCGGATGAGATGGCAGCCTTTCTGCACGCCTATCAAGACAACACTGGCTCCACGGAATATGAAGACTGCGTTCAGGAGGGCGGTTACAAACAAAATCCCGAACGTCCCTGCACCTACGACATCAATGCCGGTGGCCCCTGCAACATCATGAATGGGTAAGTGGTTGCACCACTCATCCTTACTCCATCCATGAAGCAGTCAGTGGTAGCAAAGTCGCGAAATTTCTCAACACAACACCTCCATCCACCTTAGGAGGCAACCAGAAACACTAACAGCACCACTGTGTTTTGCAAATCCCTGATTTTAGACACGACTAAATGCGTTGAAACACGATTGCTGCAGTTGTGTGCACCACTGCAGACCATGCGCACGCACACAGGTTAGAGAGATGAAGATGAATAGCGAGACAAGTCTGTACAAGCGGCTGGAAACGTCCAACTTTTAGGGTGGTACAAGGGAGGGGGAGGAGGGTGGCAGTGGAGATCTCTTCTTCCCCTCCTCGTAGGGGCACAGTTAAGAGACACCCAAAAGTGCTCACCACACCAACTTCAGTGCCTGAGCCATCGGTCATTGTGGCGACAACAATACGGCGGTGCTGCTTGTTGCTATCCAAGTTGTACCTCCGCACTGTCTATTCAATCACGACAACAGAGAGGCTTGTTTACTGATCGTCACGAGATTCTAGCCTCCTCTTAGAACCGAGAATCAGTTCCTGGGACTTCATTGCATCTACAATCCCTTTCTCTAAGTTTTTGAGATATTTTTGAACACCAATTTAAGTAGACATCCTCAGATGACCTGACTCCAAAGGTCCCGAGACAGTTCCACAATTCTAATGATCTAGAATGGGACAAATGGAGCAAATGCTTGAGGGTGTGTAGAACTCCTTCTGTCTAATTCAACGCAGCCAGTAAAGTGCATCAATGTGACGCTGGTGAAAGGCAACAATCGGAGTGTCAATTTCTCCTTCTGTCAATTATGGGAGGTTCTAAACTCTTCCTAGTCTTTAAAAAAAAAAATTCTCATTCATTTTTACATGTCAGTTTACTCTGGACCTCCAAAATGTCCATCAATAGGTGTGCAAGTGCCATCGCTGAAGGCGTTTAACGATGTGAGGTCTTACGATCAGAGGCGAGAAGTGGACGATTTCCTTTGTTAGCTTATCCCAGGCTCAAGTTTTAGTCCACTTTAGAAAGTAAGCAAGGAGTTGGCATTTCTTTTGCCTCGAGAGAGACCCCTCACGTTGCAGTCACCAAGACCGCCTCCAGCGCTCCTTCCAATGATGTTGCGTACGCCTCCTTAGGAGTTTAATTGGAGTCCCCTTAAATGCCCACTCGCACAGGACGCAGTGGTGGCCAGTTGAAACTGTCAACAGCAGTGGACACAGCAGCAATTTGGCGTCTTGAATCACTCACCAAGATTAGGCGTCAATCATGGGTCAGTGGACGGCATTTTACAGCTCATGACATTGAGGTGTGTAAATGGTAAGCGGCCATGAAAGTGGCCTTCGCCTGCCAGCGGTGACCTTGAGTGTGATAATCCTCCAACTCCAGCCTGCAACACAGCGACCACTTCAAAAGGAAGGATCTCCACTTTGGAACTACGGACAATGCATTGTTTGAGATTAAGCAGGATCTTCTAGCCTTACGATCGTCTAATTCAATGCATGCATTTCAGTGCAAAGGTGTCGCCAAAATGTTCTACATCCAGTCGGATTTATCTCCACCTGCCTAGTGGCTTCTACTGTCGCCCTTGCAGATCCAGATCTGACGATGAGTCGTTGTATAGGGAAGAAGGTGCGAAAGTCGAAGGAACCTACTTTCAAATCCGTTTTGTTTTTGTGCCCTCCTTTTAAAAACGTAGAAGTTAAAAGCTGTCACACACACACACCCAATTTTATCACTTTTATTACATCTTTTCCTACCACAGCTACGGGTTTGACACAGCTCAGGCCTGTTTCGTGCTAAAAATGGGTCGAATCTACGGTTGGTTGCCTGATCCCATCGACGAATTCGCGACGGGAGTGTTGGTGAAGTGTTCCGGCGTAACTGAGGACGACACCTTCAATTTGGGCATCATTCGGTACTACGACATGGACTACAAATTCTCGGCTATCGCACCAGGCAAAAATCCCGGCAAATTGGACAATGGGAGCTTTCACTCCATGTACTTTCCCTACAGAGGCCAATTGGCCTACCTCCAACCGCTGGTGTTTGTGCTGTTTGATGGAGTGAAGCGTAACACTTTCATTCGTGTGCGCTGCTGGCTCATTGCAAAGAACATTAAAGTGGATTTCGAAAAACGTGAGGGCAGTACGGAGTTTGAAATTATTTATGACTAAATAATTCAATGTGAAAAAAAAACACTCTTCTTGCCTATTTTAATTCAGGGGTAGTCTGGAGTTTAGCACCGCCCTCTTACCCCCCGTTCCCCCTCCTCCTCCCCCACTCCCTCTAACCAACCAATAGGAATCGTGAATTAGGTCATTTAAAGAAGACTTATTTTTCGGTCTCTTGAGTAGGCTGGACCGACAGAACTTTACTGACTGGCAATGTTTTTCAATTTCCACTAAGGAAGGAAATCGAGGTAGCGAATGGAAGGGACAAAGGGAGAAAGAAACGTGTTTAGGTAATTTTAACCACTCAGCCAATAGGAATCGCCGATTGTGCCAAGTAGTTTTGTCAAAGGTCAAGTTTTAAATGAATGTCTACCGTGGAATCCTCCAGGGTGTTGGTTAAATACTCCTTTGGGAGTTACGAATATACTGAAAGCCACGTCGTCGTTTGTGACTTCTCAATGAGCACATAGCGAGGTTTTGGCACAATAAAAACGGGAACCTCCTCTTTTTTAGACCTCGAAAGGAATAAAATGCCTTTTGAAAAGAATTTCCGTTTTTTTTCTGATTCTTCCATGAAGTTAAGGCAGGCATTGTGCATTCATTGCTCAAGAAAACCTGATTCTTTAGGTTAGAGTCAGAAAGACTATTATTAAGTTGGAGCTTCGTGCAACAGAACATCAGGCAATCTTTGCACTCCATCGAGGAGGCAATCGAGGAATGATTTAGGGAATAAACCAGCGTGAGACTCTAAAATTGCAATAATTTCGTGTGCAATTAGGGCTAGATTAACTTCGACCCCTTCCAACCAATCAGCGTTCACCTCCAGTTGCAGCTTTCCAAGATGATAAAAAGGTCCTTTCGATTGCCCTTATTTCCTAACGTCCCATCAAGATACAATAGGCTTGGATGTTTTACTGTCTTTCGACTGCTCTCAAGCGCTCAGGTCTGTGTGGTTGGTACAGAAAACGCAACTGTCTGAGGTCCATTATCTAAACATGAAAGGCAAGCCGTTTAGGGATCATCAAGGCGTGGATTATCACGCTGGTGATTGTGAGCTTTGCATTCATGAAGGAGGTGGTGAAAAATGTTGCCTGCTTTACTCATTTGTGATTTGTTTAAATTATCAAATTTGATTTAATAGCACTCAAATGACTGTCTAGAGCTAGGGATTTCCTCGGCAGGTAGATTGTCCAACCACAGGCACGTCTTGAGTCGCTTTAAGGCCCTAAGCGTGTAATTTGGTGTCATTTTGTACACCATGACGGACAATTGGCACGAAGAGGTCAGTGAAGACTCAGCTTTTAGGCGCAGTGCGCATTAGCAGGAATTTGTGATTGCTATTTGACCCAACTGGAGACGCTGTGTTTCCGAACCAAAGCGGCCATTCAGTGGAGTGTCCAGAATGACATTTCCATGTGATCAAATGTTAAATAAAGTCGATGCAATTTGCCTAGAATCGCATCAAAGCCATGCAGAGTTAGTTAGGAGTGAAAGCTCTTGACCTTCACGACATCTGATGCGTTTTCCTTCTTGTCGGAATCGGCTAAACGGTGGCCATTGAGATCAAAATAAGTCTCTCACTCAGTCCGAGGGAAACGCAATATGCCAAGATTTGGTTCACATGCTCACATAAAAGTGTTGTGGTGTAATGTTTCACTCCGCACGCAGACACGCACGCCTTTGTGCTGATTTATGGCCGCCTAGCGGTGGTATGTGAGTGTGTGCTGCCAGCACTCGGAGTTGCTGCGCGTGCCAGGCGTTTGCGTCACACCAACTACAAACGAGGCCGACAATTGCCACTTCTACAGCAAATGACGGCTTCCTCTGTAATCCCATCAGCAAACACTTGATTTACGCTATGTATGACAGTATCTCTGCCCCGCCCCACGTCCCCTGCGAAATGGGTCGTCACAATAGCCAGAAAGTGGTCGGTGTCTTCACTCAGTAATGCATTTCGTGATCATTACTGCATGATTTTAACTAATTAGCGGGAGGGTAGCTTTGATTTTTTGCCTAACTTGTGACCACGTAAGTAAAGTTCTTTTACAATCAACGGTTAAAATTGGACCAATAGAAATTGAGTATTTTTGACAACTAACTGACAAGCCAATTAAGCTGAAAATTGGAGTTTAAACATCTTCATCCACTTTATCCCATGTGTGAGAACGACTTAGACCGTGTTAGTGATAAAGATTTGAGTTTTATGATTAAGATCGGCTCTTGTTTGGCATTGACCAATGGGAATCAAGTATTTACGACTAGTAATTTCATGCCTTAGTTTGGCTGGGAGAGAAGTTTGTTTGTGTGTTTGTTTGTTTGTTTTTCGCTTCCTCTAGATTCCATTCATATACAAAGGAGTGGCATTTATCAATGGTAGACAGATGTTTCTCACAACTGACCTCAGTACCCTTCACATTGACCTCCTCAGTCAAACCCTTAAAATGCCTTCCAAGAGGTTACCAATCAACTCAGAGCAATGAAATGTTCTGCATTTAGTACTTTCTACACTAAGAATAAATTTTATCCTCAACTGCTAGGATGAAAACCATCAAAACTCTGTTAAAGTCTTCTTCGCTTCCAGGAAGGCAGAGAGGGCCATAGAAGGCTTGGAGGGATGTGATGGACTGCCAGAAAGGCCAAAAGACTGTGCCACTCCCAGGAGGATGCAAATTTAAGAAGAATAAATAAAAAGCAAGTAGATTTCTTTGTTTGCCATCAAAGACGGTTGTTTGGTGACCTGCAAGGCGAAGGACACTTGTCTGCTTCCACTGGGTTTGTGGAGGATGGCCAATCAGGGTGTTAGAGATTGGCCAATCGCTATTTCTTCCATTCCAATTCTTGTCTCTACTTACGTCCCTAACTAGGGGAGACGCGAGAGAGAAGGAAAGGGACTTCAGCTAATGACTCCAGTTTACTGAAGGAAAGGTGTTTTTTTCCGTACTCCGATGACAAATTCGTTGCTACGGCAAAATTCAATTATTACCTCCTCCTCCTTTCTCCCTTAACGCTGCGAATTTTTTTTAGATGTCTCGCACATAGCCACAAAATCTACCCTGAAAGTTCAAATGACCTATTTTAGAAATGAGAAGGCCTGCCATAATTCCAACGGCTTGAGGAGAAGCGCCCTCGTCGTTACTACGTGCCTACAAGCTCCATAGATTTAAAATTTACTGTTCTTGGCAGTAAAATTCCACTCTTTGTCACATCAGTAGCTGATGCAAGCCATGCAAATGCGCCTAATCCGTCGGCTTGCGAGTTATGTGGGTCTTGAACACCGCGTGAATGACGGTCGTGCTGGTGGAGGCCATTCCGTCATTTCAGAGGCCATAGGCTTAGTAATAAAGACAAACACCAACACCCAGACCCCAAACTATTAGTGACAACGTTCCCATGCATCCTCCACCTTGCAGATGCGACATTTAGGATCGGCTATGAGGGTGTTGAGAGACGAGACGGAAGGAATGAGAATTGTAAATGGAGAAAGAGATAGATTGAAACACCTAAAGGGTGGAAGTTCCGCAACTTTTACAATACGTTTAATGCCATAAGAGCAGCTATCTTTTAGCGGACAAGATCGTTCACCCTCTGCGATGTCTGTGCCTCCCAAAATGCAAGAGCGGTGCGGACGTTGGGCTAAGTTTAATTAGCAACTTAATATATGGGGTAGGTAATTATAAATTCCTACAGATTTAAAATTTGTCATCATCCTGAAAATCATCCTTGTAGAATTTATTGGAGTGAAAGTTAGTGTGGTGTTTGGAAACCAAGATGAGTTGATTTATGGGGAGGTTTAAAGATGATCCACCAGTCGGCGCACTCTTTAACGACTCACTCCCTCTGCTACTGACGATGCATATACGTCCTTTGAAGATGAGAAAGCTTTCTATTTCCTCGGACGGTCAAGATCTATCCGGTGCCTTGGTTTGCAAATCTAATGACTTCCTTTGAGCCGTGTGAAGGCGATGGTTTTGTTAGCCTCCGTCTTTCCTTATCATCCTCAATTTGATAATACAAAATTTAAATGCTTCGTATTTGTCTCCAACCATAGTCTTAGACTCAAAGGTCAAGTTCTCGGCAAATCCAAAATGATGGTCTTCATTTCACAAACATAAAATGAGTAGTTGACCTTTGGGGTGTTAGCATGATGGGCAAAAATTTAAAGCAGGCAATTGAATCCCATTAATATTAAATGGGTATTAAGAGACTCGAGATGTTATAAGAATTACAAGCCGGATTAAAATTATAAAATTATAGCAGCAGCCATTGTAGTTGTCTGGCAGGCACATATGAAATTGCAATTACTAAATAGGTTGGGTTAAACTGCAGCGCGAGAATCGTACATTCCTCCAATCAAATTCTAGACTTCAAATATAATAAGCGCTACTAAACAAATGTAAGTAGCAAGTATGTTATAACATTAATGTGTCTTATAGAGCTTTACAAGTGAAGCGAATCAGGACCTTAACATTCACCAGCCCACCGATGCTGATTCTGGTCTTTGACCTCTGGTAATGTCACAGATGGATCTCATGCTTTTAAGCTTTTAAACTTTGGACAAAACAAAAATTGCTATTTTCACTCGAGACATTGAGCATACGTGGTACCGAAATACGCTGTTTATAGACTAAGAGATCACCCTGAGTCTTTTCAGAAAAGGCGCAGGTGCTAGCTTCTTAGCTGATGTTAGACAACCAAATCGTATATCAAATCGAGGTAGAACCAGAGATCTCTTGGCCACAAAGGTCTGAGCAGTTAGCAGCAAACATTCATCTTGATAGAATTGGCTCATCACATCGCTGTACTTATAAGTTCACCGCATCAGATTACCTCAATGAAATAAATGGACGAGCGTCTTATCGACGGCCGAAGGGAGGTTTTCTCCCACAACCTTCTGTCGCTTAAAAGAAAGCTAAAATCACCATTAAACCGTGTACCACCATCAAAAACTTTGCAGTTCCAAGAAACACCAAAGGGCCGAGTCCCACATTGTGATAAAAAGAGCCACCATCAACACTCAACACTTCATCGCCAACAGCCACCAGATAAGAGCAGTTCAATTTCGGCCCAGTCAAATGACTTTAAGTAGATCCTCCGCAGCGCACCGTGATGGAATGAAGGCCTTTTCAATGTCTCCACTCAACATTTCCGTACTGCCATCAAGTCCTACGAAATGGAGGTCATGACAGAGAAAAGAGGCGACCCAAGCATACGAAAAGGAGCCTGTAGTCAAGTAAGCGGGTCAAATTTGCAGAAGACAAACACCTCTCAGACAAGAGCGATTCCATGTCAGGAGCAGTGCCACTTAGAGCGACGTTAGCAAGAGAAGAAAGGAAACAAAGAGGACACTTCTTCGGGGTCAACCGACAATCCTAAGTTCAATCTTAAGAATTTTGCATCTATTGGAACTGCATTTAATTCCCGTTCAATTGAGGTCCTCAACATGAACAAACCATAAGGATGTAACTTCACAACTCAACAATCAAATAGCACCACCACTTCTTTCCTCAAGCAAGAGCATTATACAAGGGAAGAAGTAGTTCTTTTCCACTAAGGAAATGAACAAGGGACAAGAAGCGAAATGGTGAAGTGGTGAGGAGCCCCACAACACTGGGGAATGCCATCACGCCGTATTCCTCCATTTGACTCATTTATGATCGATGCTCAAACAAAAAAGACCCTCCAACGCACCCAAACCAATTGACGTGTTGATCTAACTACAGAGATTGTACAAGTAAATAAATACGTCAGCTATGAAGAAAAACAGTAGAAATCGACATCGGATAGGGACGGGTACGTCCGCCCCAATGTATATGACCCACTAGGTGGTTGCCAATTTTTCCAACCAAAACAATTCTAATAGACGTGTTGCAAAATTGCACTAAAATTTGTACAAGACGAAAAAAGGCGGGTGATGCTAATAGTGCCTCCCCACCGGCTACATAAAACGTCGCTGACGAGAGTGATAGTAATGATAGCTGTCGTAGTCACGCCCTACGACCCTGCGAACCGGCTGTTCGGCCTGAAAGGCGCCTGTTGCCGTAGCCGAGGCGTTGACAAGCGGCTCTGGATTCCGTCGCACCACCCGACGCTTGTTGCTGCCAATACCGCCACCAACAGGCGTTCGCTCCGTAGCTGGTGGTGTTACTGCCACGTCAACCATGTCACCGATGCGGAAAGCGCAGTCCTACGTAGAGGTCAGGCAGATGGTTAACTGAAAGCATCTCTTTTCAAAGTGACTCAAAGGAACCCTTTTGGACCTAAATATTTAAACAACTTCTTCGACAAAAGCGAAGCCAAATCAAGGCATATAAGACGGAGGCATTACTGTGGAGCAGTTTCCGCTAGCCAAAGAAAAGGACCTAAGGGTTGTTACTACTTAAAATAAAGCTATTTGGTCTTGTGACTGTCCCACATGTATAGGGTGAAACGGACATGCTAATCTCACTGGAGCCCAGATTATATCAAATCAGAGAGATCCATGCTTCCAACCCTACCAAAAGCACCATGAAGCAAAAACTGTAATTCCGGTTGATTAATGACCGTGTAGCGAAATTATCTTAAATAAAAGCAGCCCAAATGACAAGAGATAGGCTTGAGACAAGCTAGAAGGAGAGAGGATGGTCTTATTAGGTACGCATGCAATGCACAGCCACTAAATGATGAATGTGGTTGTGCGTACAAGACCGTTTGCACTAGCCCATGGAATATGAACCGTAGCCCAAGACAGTCGGTTGTAAAGCTCCTGCAAATGTGCATGGGTAAACAATCCTTAAGCAAGAAGAGATGCCCATCTGGGTCTTCAAAGAGATTGTAGGTGAGTAGATGTAAGTGTAGAAAGTTAAGACGGCAAGAAGAGAATAATTAACTATTTGTGAGTGCCCAAGATCTACCAAAGGCTTAGAAATTTTGAAACAAATCCATGGATGAATAAGATTTTTACTGAAAAGAAAAGCAAACGAAAGGGTCTTAGGAAAGCCTGATCATACGACAATCCATTACTCCACTAGACCAATAAAACACCAATCGTGTTGCGCTTTCAAAAGGTAGTCTTAAAGTAGGGAGAGCTACAAAGCAGTTTGGAGAATACCAGCCATAATGAGGGATTTGATGAGTCAAATTAGCTGAATGCATTATAAATGGCTGCTTACCATGGAATTAGAGGCCCTATTGCACGAACACAAAAATCTGAGTTTTCTAAGCGCTTAGAGTCTGATAAGACTCCAATTAGTACAATGCAAGCACATCCCCTGTATAAATCAAGTTTAATGCGTTCTATTTACGACTCCTTGATTCACTGAGACGGCCAGAGACAAGTCAAAAAATTTAGGTTTTGAAGAGAGGGAGAGGGATAGGAAATGCTATCTAAAGACAATTTAGAGGAGCACGGAACACACTTTTCTGGAATATGGTGAGCTAAATACTACAGATTTATGAAGTATTGGGAGTGCGAACCATGATTACGTAGACAAAACATTCACTACGCATAGTCGTAATGTTGAATATGGAATTCTACTTACGAAGCGTGAAAAGGCAAGAACATGGCATTACGTTCACATTTATCAGAAGCACACAACCAAACAGCCTTAAAAAGAAATGTTTACCGTTTTGATCAAGGTGGTGAATAAAGAATATCTGATAAGCAAACAGTACCAGGACCTCATCTAGAGTCACTGTGAAATATTTGTGATTCTTCAAGTTAGATACAAGATGCCGCCTGAAGATTGTAAAGTACACGACACGCCCTCACCATGTACAATACAATCAAAGACAACGACAAAAGGCCAACAATGTAAAATTTGAGGTATTACCTTCAGCATAATTTTATCCGAATCCGAAGGAAAACCTGAACAGACACTTCCGATATCACGCATTTTATAACCAGGAGATCGAGGGTCAGGAGAAACAATGGCAAAGTCAAAAATCGTTCCCCGTTTACGTGCATCGGGATTGACAATTTTAACAAGTGAAGATAATTCCAGCAAAGTTGCATCCAACCTGTGATAGAGCATTGATTATGTTAACCAAGACAGCGTACCATGTATAAGCTTGTAACTCATTGAGAGGAAATGACTTGCGCGAATATTCATATATCTTGTTATGGGAACAATGTCCGCAGAAAAGCCTTAGCAAAAGTGGACAGGTTTTTTCTCTATCAATTCGACCATCACTCCTCTCGCCTAACACCATTTGAGTTGAGAATTTATAAAATGTATGCCAGAAAAAAGAAAATAACTGAGAGTTATGCTACCAAGGTGCCCAAACCCAAACCACTACTAAGTCGAACAAACGCGAGTTCCAAGTCTGTACCACAAAAGCTGTCGATTTAAAGCATAACAATTAATAAGTAATTATTTAGCCCTTATACTACTAACAGATTTTTGCTAATTTTTGTTAAAACTTAAAGGCGAAATACATAAGTAGTGAATTTATTGTATAGTCCTTTTTTGGTAGATTCTGATTGTTTGATTTTAAAATGCATAATTATAATTCATGATAAATGCAAACTTGCGCAAATCACATATTAATGACACATTAATAGCCTGTACTTTTGAGCCTTACTTTTACTAACTCCTTGTGTCCTGCCCAGTTTTCAAAACCTAACCAAATGGCTAGTACGCGCGAGGGTCGGCAGGTTCGATGATATAGTATTCTTAACATTTAAAGGCGGGTGACTCGAGTACCTCCAAACCTCATGACGATATTTACAAAACTCTTTGTGCTGATGTTGAAGCCTTTATCAAGACGTTCTACAAGCATGTCAAAACTAATGATTTGATTGAAATTGAAAATGACTACGTTGTCAAGTACGTTCTTAAGTAGTTTGTAACGGATCATCAGGTTTCCAAAACTCACTGAACAGTATTTTAAAACCACTCGTTGGCCTCCTGCGGAAGCCATTTCTTCTCTTGTCAATAAGGGTAGAACATTTGCGAGTACTCTAATTACTCTTTTAGATTCTATATTTATGATGCTCTATAACGAGCTGTTCTATCGTCATTTGTACGCACATGTTACGTCTTTTCCAGAATTGGAGGAAGCTCACCAGTCTTATCTAAACTATTGCGCACTATTCGATGCTCTTTTAAGTGTGTCTCAATTTCTTATCATGCTTGTCGAATGCGTAAATTACCGATGGGTTGTTTAATTTCTTATAGAGCCAAAAAATCCGGTTCAGTTGGAGTTGCCTAATCAGTGGCTTTGGGACATTATTGACGAGTTCATATACCAGTTTCAGAAGTTTTCCACCTATCGCAGCAAGCTTAAACGCAAACCCGAAGATGATGCTTTTTTGGGGCTAAACCCCTCCACCTGGAGCATTCAAGGTGTTCTCGGCATTTTGTTTCAGCTCGTGGAGAAGTCGAACATAAACCTGCAGCTGAGTTACTACGCTATGCAGCGTGAGCAACTTGTGACTACTTTTTTGCTTTGCATATTCGGGATGGTTAAATTTATGAGGAAGGGTCTCATCTAATTTCTACTCTTTCACTACCAGGCGACCCCTACGAAGTGGCCGGCCCCTTCGGCCAGTGTGACCTCTACAAGATGCTGGGTTTCTTCAGTCTTGTGGGTCTCTGTCGGGTACACTGCCTTCTGGGTGACTACTTTACTGCTCTCAAGATGCTCGAGCATGTACAATTAAGTCGGCAAGAGATGTACCATGAAGTTCCGACCTGCCATATCACCACAGGCTACTATGTTGGCTTTGCCTACCTCATGATGCGACGTTTCCAGGATGCAGTACGCACCTTTACTCATACTCTGGCCTACATTGCTCGCGTCTCTGCTTGCGTTGCGCAGCGACCTGATCTGCGGGAGTATGTTGTGAAACAGGCTGACCAAATGACAAGCCTTCTGGCTATCTGCATTACCATCGATCCGATGCCGATTGACCAGACTGTGGAGCAGCATTTGAAAGAAAAGTTTGCTGAAAGCTTAAACCGACTGCAGCAAACGTGAGTGCACTGTTTAAATGCCCTTTCTTAGCAGTCTGAAACGCTCATTTCTTGTCTTTAAATTTGGGAAGCCATGACTAATCTTGTGTAAAACATAGTCCATGAAATGTTGCTGTATTGTATCGCAGGAACAAGGATGAGTTTACCATGTGCTTTGACATTGGCTGCCCGCGCTTCGTAAACCCAGATGCGAAGGCAACGGAACGAGTGAACTACGCCCTGGATGCTCAGCGCCACCAGAGCACGGTGTTTCGCAGCGAGCTTGATCAATACTGGATCGAGTTGCCGCGATTGCGGTCCTTCCTCAAGCTTTACACTTCTCTTCCTGTGGAAAAATTGGGCCACTTTTTGGACGAGGTACGTCTTATATATGTACAGCCCATTAGTATACCTATTTAAATGGCAGTTCTGCGTTGGAAGCGCCAGTCTCGCTGTTTACAAAAAGCGTCACTTGATGATGAGTGGTTTTCAGCTCTTTTTTTTTTCTTTAAGAATGAGGAGGACGTACATTCCTTGCTGATGCGTTTCAAGCACCAGTTGAAGAACGTTACATGCACGGGAGAGACTTGTGGTAGCCTGGAAGGTACACTGCAACTCCTCTGTGATACCGACTTCTATGTTGATGGAGAGATGATCCACGTCGCCGACATGAAGGTGGATCGCCGTTTCTCAGAATTCTTTATGCTGCAGTTGGAGAAGCTGCGTGAGGTCTGTTTCGGCTGCTTAAATATAATCAGTAGACATTTTGGCACAGTTAACTGACTTACAATAACACCCCTGATTGCTTTATCAGGATGTAGAACGGGGGGTGTTGTCGGAGCTGGTGTTCTCCCTGTAGACGTGTTTTGCCAATGAGCGGTAGCTACTTTGAAATGTGTTATACTACCCACACAGGCATGTTTTGAGTGTTAGAGTGTGGAGGACCTGCAGCTGGAAAAGCAGATACGCAGTAACACTTTACTGTGCTCTCCGTTTGTTGTTTAACTCACTGTTTATTGTGGTCTCTGAGTTATCCCAAAAATTATTTTAACCCATCCGTGGATCTGCCACCGAGCTTGTTGTTTACACGTGGAGACAGAGGGGGAGGGGAGGGTATTCTAACTTGCTAGTCACCGGACTACTTTCATGTTCGTCCTTTTCAGCTAAACGATCAATTGGACGAAGTCGAAAAGAAGTTGAGTACTGCACGCCTGCGATCCTGAATCGTCGTTGCCTGCTTAGCCCCGCACCGGAGTTTCATTATTTGCTACTTCAACAACCATAAATACACACTTGCCTAAGGACCATTTCTGTTTTCTTCTGCCTGATGGGAGTTGACACCACAGTTTACATGTCGTACCTCATCACCTTTTCTTGTGACGCTGACATGGGGCATTTTGGAGTTGAGTGAACTCTCAAAGTCGTGTCCTCGGGAGTTTCAATGTGTCGAATTTTCGGATTTGGTGTTTATCTGATGTCTTGTCTGCCTTAATTCTCATTAAGGTGCCTTTCTGTTTGTTTTGTCACTGTCGGATGAAAATCACGCACTTTCTGTCCTTTTCGTCAGTACACACTGATAGGGCGAAAACGTGATGTCTGCCATCTCATGCCTCTCAACCGGCATAAACCAAGTTTACTCGGTGTTCTGCATTCTCAGGTCAAGTAGTTATTAGCTTTTGGGTTGTTTAGTTACCGGCAAGTTGGTTCTTTATGACGTTGTCTGACTCTATTGGAAATTAAGTACAGCTTTTGGGTAACCGATGTGATTTGGAGGCTGTTTAGTCAGGTGACGTTTCGCCGTTTTCATAAAATTATGGCAAGTGTCGATCCTTTTTCTTTCTCAAGGAAACTAAAGACGTTAAGGGAAGGGTCTCGTTATTTTCGTTCCCTTTGTGGAAGATCAAAATAATGAATAAGTGTGCTATCCTCTTCATCAATTCTTCCCTTAGATGGAAGTTTTACAAAACGCAGCACCGCGCCTCTACCCCGTGGACAAGAGTCGAGTGGGTGTTCACTTCAAGCCATTAACCTCCTCCACTCGCGAACCAATCACTGCTGCCGAAGTCTTTGGTATGTCAATCAATAGGAGAGATTGACAAGACACTTAACTGAGTTAATCTGATTCTATGTTTAAGGAGACTCAACAGGTGCCACTTTCCACTTCCCTCTTAGAGCACATTCGCGACATTCGAGATCCGGAGCATCCTTACACTCTGGAGGCACTTGGCGTGGTAAGGAAGGAGGAGATTGCTGTGGATGATGTCGGGTCTAGCGTCAGTGTCCGGTTCACACCCACCATTCCGCACTGCAGCATGGCTACCCTCATTGGCCTTTCAATCAAGGTCAAGCTGCTGCGATCGCTGCCACGCCGATTCAGGGTGAAGGGATGATTTTACTTGACTACTTGTTTATTATTTTTGTTTATAATTTGAAGTATTTGAGGGTTTCATTCGTTTCCGTTTAAGCGAAATCGCGGAACAGATTCCATTCCTTAATCCTTTTGCACCTCTAGCCAGCTTTGTTCTTTCCGACTGAGTCGGTGTCATCGTTACTAACTGGTCTTTGCCTCTTCGTACTCAGTTTGCACTAGCCTTTTTGAATTCCAGCTTTCCCTCCACAAAAGAGGTTGAGTGTGTAGAATAATGCATTTTACACTCCGAATAGAATGTGTACAAACGAATATCTGTTCTGGCCGTTTACCTAGAACCTAAAAGAACTGGGCTTCTATTATACTTGCACCTAAAGTCCGTTCCAGGAGGTCGAAACCCGTAGTGTATCTTATTCGCGTGGAATAAATTCTAGTTCTTTTAGCACTAAGTAGTTTATCTGTCACAATGACGGCACGAGCAGCAGTGGATGTTGCTGTAGTATAATGTCGTCATTCTCAGCTGCGCGGCATGACCATGCTAAACTTTTTTCCGACGGCAAAGTTTTTACTTATAATAAATTAGTAATAAGGATTTTGTTACTAGATCCGTGTGGTAATAGCGTCAGGTATGCACGAATCGGAGGTGGATATCAACAAACAACTGGCCGACAAGGAGCGTGTTGCTGCTGCTATGGAGAACCCCGCCCTTGCTCGATCTGTGAATCAGTGTATTGCGCCTTAAACGTTTCTGGTTGACTGCCTTGACCTTCTTCCCTTTTGAAATTGAAATATTCATATGAAATTTGACTACTTTTTAACAGACCTTCCTTATTCATTATTTGAGAAGTCAATAAAAAAACTTGATATGTTGAAAGTTGATTGATTTCTATTAGCTGTTGCTTGGGTTAGCGGACGAGTGAGATCATTTGCGAATCAGTTTCATGGCTTGAGCTCGTCCACCAGCTGATGTGGAGACGAAGATGCCCTTCTAGGGGCACACTTCGCCCTCGAAGGACGCTTAGCCTGGGAAAAACTTACATTCCACAATCACAAATGACACTTAGCTTAGTCCATTGATTTTCGCGGCTTTGGTAGCTAACATTATCGTCAAATCTGACGGATATTTGTTAAAATTTTTGGTAGAAATATTTCACAAATACAAGCACAGTTTTACCTCAACCTTGTGCATATCTGACCCCTTACACCCGGATGCTTACGGTCATGCGGGGTTGCGTTGCCAAGACTTTATCAATCTGATAATCATAGCCTTGAATTGGGGCGTTGGTCAGGCATGAGACGTCTTGATTTTTCTCTTAGTAGTTGAGTGTTCGCCTTTTCTACTCCAGGTTTGCGGCCAAAGAACCTTCCCACCCAAAATTGAACTCAGACTCAATGCCTCAAAGCACCGTAAAATCAGTAATGTTAGACTCAAGTGATCTGTTCGCCTCGAATAACCTCGGGGAGAAGGGGACAGAAGTTCTAATGCCTGCTGGTGAAGGTGATGGCGTGAACCGCTCTCCACGCCACCGCCATGGATTGAATGCTTGTAGGAGTGGAAAAATGGACAGCTCTTCATCCTAAACCGGTTAGGGCTGTTCCAATGACTCAAAAACCATCCAGAAAGCAATCGGCCTGACAACAAAAATCCAGTCAAATTAACTTTTTCATGCTCATTGCATGGCAAGAGGAGGCAACAGGTGGAAATAATCCCAGCAGGTCAAGCATTCTGACACAAACTCAGAGACAATGAGGCGACCAAGTTGCTTCCCACAACAATTGCAGACATTAAAACGGCCTCCTCTGAATGTAATCAGCAACAGTCATCGAAAGTGCTTTCAGCTTCGTACACGCATTGTGTTAAACGACGTCACAGAGCCACCAATTGTCGGGAAACCCCTTAAAGCTACCAACATGAAGTAAACCTATTTTTTGCTGTCTCCACCCAGACAACGCATTTGTCCACATCCTCAACTTTGGCTTCTGGGCTAGAAGTCATTAAAATGGACGCTGGACCCTGCCAAGGCCAGGTGTCCGCTGCGGTGTGTTCAACACTACCTCGCCTAGACAATGACTCGCTAATCACGGATGGGAGGTCGTCAGCTCTGCTTGTCTACCTCTCTTTCATGAAAATTGAAAACGTGGTTTGCGAAGTGGGGAAGAGAGGGGCTGACAATCAGTGCCAGAACGATAAAATTCTTGCGGTAGACGAATCCGATTCACAAAGTCCGCTTTCAGGCAACTGCTGAAGCCCAACGTGCTGCTAATCACCTTTCGAAGGTCCCTAAAAGGCGTGCACAGACGTAAAAATAGATCGACGCTGCCGTCCGTGTTGTCCAACTTGGTGCTTCAATTCCATCCTGAATGTATCCACACATTTACAGTCCTACAACAATTTTACAAAGTTAAATTTAAAATTGAGCAGTAGTATGATAATCCAATTCTGAAATTCTTCATTATTTCGGCCAAGCAGATTCCCTTGAATCGACTTTTTCAATTGCAGATGAATGGGGACACCTCACGAAGGTCTCTTCCATGAGGCTGCAGAGCTCGAGACTTCCATCGACTTTCCATTTCCTCAGCTAGACGAGAGGAAAACAGATTGAGGAAAATTAAAGTAAAGGTTTTACCACTCTAAGGGTCTCCACGCAAGTCCTTGGAAAGAACAGTTCACCTCTCCAAACTCAAAGTTGTCTTAACTCAATCTTCCACGAGCTTCCAAGTCTTCTGACGATCCACACCGTCTCCTTGCAGACCAACTTGCCTCAGAGGAACGGACAATGTCTTCGTCACATCCCATCACACAAGTGAAACGATCTCATGCGAGTAGACAATGACGCTCATCGTCCACAACTCCGAGGATCAAAGGAAAGGAAAGTGGCGCTGACACAGTCTCCATCCATTCCCCCTTCCAAGCTGATCCACAAGCAAACATCCTCTCCTATGCTAAAAAAAGTGGTCAAACGGCTCCACTTCTCCCTTGGAACCACCTCCGACAGCTTTACGAAACCTCAGTCGATCGTGAAAATTTCCCTCGTTCAGCAAAACAACGACCGACAACTTCATCGAGAGGATTGGGAAAGGTGGGAGTTAAAAGAAAAAGTGTCGTTTGTTTTAATAGTGCACAGCATCGAGTACATCTAATCAGAGTGGTTCCGTCATTGAGTGTCTACCGTGTCTGGTTGGTTGAATGTCCAGAGAATCAAAAAATTACTTCTTTCCAAGAGAATTCAATTTTTTTCTCCCCTTTCAGTACCACCTTGGAAGAACTGTCGGAGTGGAAGGCACTACTAAAGTCTTTTTCCTGTCCTCTTTAGCACACGAGGAGCATTTGAACTGTGAGGATTTTCTTTCACTTCCACCGATCATTGTAGGAAGTGTTTGACGTCTTCCAAAACATCCTCGTTGAATGCAAATTTTGGCAAATTTCCTACAAAAGAACTCAACCTCGTATTACGGCGATTCTGTTAGAAATGAAATTGTCAGTCACCTTCAACCCAAGGCTGAAGGGCAACCTTTTGAGGACGATTCAGTAAAATCGCATCATTTGAACCATCAAGAAAAATCACTGCTGAGATGCATCGTCCTGCCAAACCGACACGTCTCAACACGCCTCCACCGGCCAAGTGGACTTCACGAAACTCTCACGTGCACAACCACGCGACCCTCATCCATGCATCGATCCACCTGCGGTCTCTGTACCGTCGGCTTGAGGCCTACAGCGTTGCGGTGAGGTTCGACATGGCCAAAGTAAGCTCCTTGTCCTTCTATCATCCTTTCCTCTTGCCTTAAAAATTGGCTTTTCTCTTTACTGCACCTTCTTGACCCTCTGACTGTTTCATTTGTCAAGTTAATCTGAATTGACTCTCCCCCCTGACACCGCCTGTCAAAGCCCATTTTACTTTTCCTCGTGACTTTTAAGTCTTCAAGTTGCAAAGGAGTGACGCAAGTCATCCCAAACTACTGTCTCTTTACTGATTAGGAAAAAGACTTTCCAATTTGTCCCTCGGCCAACAAGAGGGTCCTGTTCAGTTGGTTTTCCCGACATGTTAAACTTATGCGTGGAGGTTGCAGCCTGTCATCGGTGAAATGTGAGAAGTCCAATTTACTTCCCACATTTTATGCGAATTGTAGAACAAGGGAATGAATGATGTGGGAGATTTGTTTTTTGTTTTTAGAACGCCGTTCGAGAGGTGATTTGCATCCACATTGGACAGGCGGGAGTACAGATTGGCAATGCCTGTTGGGAGCTGCTTGGACTGGAGCACGGCGTTCGACCTGACGGCTTCTATTACGATGGCTACGAGCCCACAGACAGCTCATTTCTCACCTTTTACAATGAAACTGGTCATGGCAAATTTGTGCCTCGGTCCGTCTTCATCGACTTGGAGCCAACTGTAGTCGGTGAGTCCACAAGACGTCATAAAAATTGACACTGGGGATAGAAGTAGTCACCTTCTTCAAATTACAGACCATCTCAATGGTGACTATAAAGTAGTTGAAACATTTTCTCTCCTCTCCACGTAGATGAAATTCGATCTGGTTACTATCGCCAACTCTTCCATCCCGACAGTTTGATTACAGGAAAGGAGGATGCAGCTAACAACTTTGCACGAGGATTCTACACTGTTGGCGAGTTGATTGTCAACAATGTGCTGAATCAGATTCGCAAGACTGTTGAAACGTGTCACATGTTTCAGGGATTTATTGTCTTTCACTCCCTTGGTGGAGGCTCGGGGTCTGGTTTCTGCTCCCTCCTCATTCAACACCTGTCCGAGGACTATCGTAAAAGCACCAAAATTGAATTGTGTGTCTACCCCTCACCGCGTCTAGCCTCGGCTGTTGTGGAGCCTTACAACGCCGTTCTCACTACCCACTCGTGCATTGAACTCTCTGAGGTCTGCTTTCTCATGGATAATGAGGCGGTGTGGGATATTTGTCGTCGCAATCTCGATATTCGTCGTCCCACCTTCACCAACATCAATCGCATTCTTGCACAAATTATCTCCTCTCTCACCGCAGCTCTGCGATTTGAAGGTCAGTTGAATGGAGACTTGACGGAGTTTCAAACCAACCTTGTGCCCTATCCTCGGATTCACTTCCCTCTCATTACCTTCGCACCCATTGTGGCTGCAGACAAGGCGTATCACGAAACCAACTCCGTTGATCAGATTACTAAGGCCTGTTTTGAGCCAGCAAATTCCTTTGTCAAAATAGATCCTCGACTAGGCAAATACATGGCGGTGTGTCTCCTCTACCGAGGTGATGTGGATCCAGCCAGTGTTAATTCGGCCACCTCGGCTATAAAGTCAGCCAATTCAATCCACTTTGTGGATTGGAGTCCCACCGGCTTCAAAGTGGACATCAACAGTCAACCGACAGCCACTGTGCCGGGTGGAGATTTGGCACGAGTTATGCGAACATGTTGTATGCTTGCCAACAGTACAGCTATTGGTGAGGCTTTTATTCGAATTGACAGAAAATTTGACTTAATGTTCAAAAAGCACGCTTTTGTCCACTGGTTTGTGGGAGAGGGCATGGAGGAGGACGCCTTTTTGACCGCACGTCAAGATTTGGCCGCATTGGAGCAAGACTACGAGGAGGTGGGCTTCGACACCAAAACGGAGTAGGTGTGTGTGGGCAGGCGGATCTGACAACAATGCCGGTGCAGCCATCACTTCTATTCCTTTTTTTTTTTGTTTCTGTTTCTGTTTGACAGGCTTCTGTTTTGTGTGGTGCGAAGTTTACGTTTGTGTCACCATTGTGGGTCCAAGAAAAGAGGGGGGGCGGGGGAGGGAAAGACTTTTTTTGTGTGAAAAATATTTCAAATACATTTATTGTATTTATTTGCAAACATGTCACTTTGATTTGCTTTACTGTCTAGACAGATGTGATTCTTGTTTGTGTGATTTTCTCTATCCTTATGCATTGAAGTTGGATGGAGGACGAAGTGCTTGATGGGTCTTGATTAAGGAGTGTCGTCTTTCCATGGACTGTAATTTAAGTCATCCACGATGGGGGCTAGAGACCGATTTTTTTCCACTTTCAAAAGGTCGATGCCAGTCTGTGCCTGTTGTCAGTCCGCGCTGAGAACTAGAAGCACTTTTTCACCCTTCAGAAGGCAATAAAATGTGCTGTCAAGTCGATTTCCCCGCCCGCACGGACAGTAACGATGTCTCCTCCTGTTGTGTCGCTAGGATTGTATTTTGTTTTACTTTTTCCACTTTTGTGGCTCCGCTTTATTGCGCAACAGTCGTCACGAACCGTCCAAATCCAGTGGTGTCGTGTGTCAAAGACGGCTTCACCGATGCCCCCTCCCTAGAGCCGCATGGATCAGAGCATCTGCACAGATCACTTCGACTAGGTGTGGTGTGCGTAGTGTACAAATTCCTTGCAATTTGTTCACCAACTTGAGGCATCCCACAGGACCCCTCAACGCTGTCCTCCCCATTCGTCAGAGACTGGCGACACCGCTGCTCAATGGCGATGGCAAGACTTGCGTAGGGGGGAAGAACTCCGACCTCGAGGTGACGGTTGTGACTTGTGATGTCGCGCTCAACTCGATCATCTCATCAACTCGCCTTCACCGCTCATTTGCATGGCAATTTTTTTTTCTCTCTCCACCCAAAATGTTTTAAATGTAAGTGATAAGGTGAGGTTAGTCAGGACGATGTACATGAATGCCACCAGGACGAAACGTGTCAAAGGCGCACCACCAACTCACATCACACCTTAAACACTAATTTCGTTCCACTTTTTGTTTTTGGTTTTTATTTTTATTTTTTTTAGAAAAAAAGAGCGCTTTTTTTGTGTAGCCTAACAGTTGATAAAAAGGAGAGGATTTTGCAGGATCTGTGGTTAACTTGGCGGGGAGGAGACTAGTTTGTGATGGAAGGGAAAAAAAACTCATGCCTACCAGTGGTCTCACATTTTGCTCTAAGTGGTACCACTTTGGGGTTGTAAAGTGCCTCGTCCAAATGCCTGTTTGTTAACGCCCTAAAAAATACATTGTGGGCTGTGGTTTGGTGTGTCGCGGAGGTCACTTGACGTCTCCTCTCTTCACCTCTTTCCTGTTACAGGTGGTCATCATGACTTCAACCGTGTCGCTCCTAAGCAGCGTCTCGATTCGGTCCCTTTGCGAACCGATTGTGCGAGAAACTGATTTACTGACAGACTAGAGGTGAGAAGTCGGTTCTTTTGTATGCCTCAAAATATGCTCTTTCTGTCTGCCAAACTCCTTCTGCCGCTGAAGGCGACCCAAATGCTGCAATTTGGGTCCGCTCATTTGCCTGCCCACAAAACCAACTCCCCTGCGCCCTGATTGCTGGAGCGGTGGGAGGAATGTCCCATTCAGGCGGTGCCCTTTTATCATGACCAGCCTGGAGGCGAGAAAGTGGCTTCATCCGTGAAGGCGAGGGCGAGAAATGATGGTCTTGTCCAGGGCTACATTCCAAATAAAGACCGTCAACTCTTTGCTTTATCATCAACTTATTAAATGGCCGTAACAAAAATGCTCAAAACAAAACAAAAAAAAAAAACTCAAATTCGCTTTCCTTCTATCATCACCACTTCCTCCGCGCTGAAACGCCTCGGCGCCGCGATGGTTTCACGTGTCCGTAGGAGTGAAATGCAACGCAAAGGTGGAGGTGCCACATTTTGCGCAACGCTGAGACCTGCTGGGGGACAGCTCGGGGGTCAAAAGGTGTCACTGAAACTTGGTGGAAGAGGAGAGGTGTCACGCCTCGGAGGCTCCAAAAGGTAACAAGTAAAACAGATTGATTAGTTTTGTGAAGTCACTGACAGTCATGTGAAGATGTTAAGCCTTTCTGACGTTGACACATGACGGGAAGAAACTATACCAGTAACAAAAAATGTCATTTTTATTTTTATTATTGTTTTCTTTTTTTGATAGATTGTCCTAAAAAAGGTTTTAGTAATTAAGTTAATCTCAGATCAACTTATTAATTTTTATGTCTGTGTGAGGGCGTCTCTCGTTTGCATCTCGAATGGTCAAAAAAGTCTCCAACTTGATGGATCAAAAGATTTTCTAGCTTAAAAATAAATTTGAAATGCAAAGAAGGAGCTTCAACAAACAAATAATTCAAAATTGAGAATCTCGAGACAGTTTATTTCAGCGTTGTGAGAGTTGTCACGGGGAGTGCTTAAGTCGAGTGCCTCCTCCTCCTCCTCCTCCTCTTTTCCTTCCTCCTCCACCTCATCCCTCTCTTCTCCCTCCGCCCCTCCCCTCTTTTCCTCCTCCTCTCCTTCCTCATTCGCCTCTTCGCTCTCTTCTTCTACTTCCTCCTCCTCCTCCTCTTCCCTCTCTTCTTCCTCCCCTTCCCATTTCCCTCTCTCCCTTCTTCCTCTTCCTCCTTCCCTTTCTTTTACCTCCGATTTTAAGAAATCGCAAATTGTAGTCACCTCCTCCCCTCAAGGAAAATAAACGCGAATTTCCTCTGTACTACTAAAGTAGTCAAATTCGTTCATTTGCATGGTGAAAATGTGTCAATAACATATATGTGGCTGCGGTCTAGTTGGTCTGTAATAAGCCAGTCCTAAAATGAAGCTGCTCCTTTGTCCCTCCCACAACTCCCATTGTCGAAACGTCCAAACAGTCAAGAGAATGAGAGAGTGGAAACAAGTTTTTCCCTCCTTTGCCTTATTGCCTCACCGTAATACGTGTGTATCTCCGCATGGATCGGTTATGATGCTGATGATGAGGAGGAGGAGGAAGATTGCGTCTGTTTTCCTCCCACCCACAACAATAAGCACCGTCTTAAGGCATGGAATAGGACGAGGCTTTAAAGTATAGTAGCTCGGTTAATGTCTGTGTTGATGAGGCTGCTGTTCACCAAAAACTAACGGTATAAAATTCCTGTGGCTCAGGTGTGATCCCCTCACCACCTTCCATAATCGTTGAGGTTGTTCTCGACAAGCTCTTCACAAGTTTAATCCATGTTTCGTGAGGCACGCACTGGAAGGGATGATGGAGTGGACACACTTTCGTCCAGAACCTTTGAAGTGGACAACCTCTGAACCCATTCAATGAGACCTACCAACGCCTCAACGCGGGAGGTCGGGAGCAGCGATACGAAGTGGTGAAAGGGAGCTACGACAAGCCTTTAAGCTCACAGCACCTGCTAACATCGAGGTAAGTGCCTCAGTCTTGAACACATCCACGGTACAGTGGACGGCCTCCCCAATTTTTGTTTCTGAAATCTACGCAATCAGTTGCCATTTTTTATCAAAAGTTGATAAGCAGTGCTTTTTTTAAACCAGGAATATGTCACACAAAACATTATTCTTTTGACTTTGTAGACTTGAGGCGATGACAGTCTACGGCACTTCTCAAATGTCCGGGTTGGAGATGACTGCGAGTGTCTTATTTAATCCACCACCAAAATAGGGGATAAAATGAAGTCGCCTTTTTCTAGTTCCACAGGCGCAGATTGACGTGATCCCTGCAGGTCACAGGCAGTTCAGTCGTTTGTCCTCTCTTGACATGCCTCACCGTCAAAACACTTCACTCTGACGTTTCCTCCCCGCCCCCCTCCCTCCACCTTCCATCCTCCATTCGGTTAAGTTTAGCCCTTTTGGGTGATTTCAATGCGATCCGCACCTCCGCGGCGCAACGCACATTGAAAGCACCACCGTGTCTGAACACGGCAAAGCAGTTTGTTCAACACCTTGACACAACTTCAAAATCATGCTTTGTAAGTCCTTACGCACTCCACTTTTGTTTGGTATGTCGTCAACTTGAGGTGATGAAAGTTCTCCTCAGTTGTTAGAAACTTGAGGAGGAGAAAATGAGACGATTGTTTGATCAACTCCACAAAACAATGGAATTAAGTGGAACACTCCCTCAAACCTACACACACTCTACGCTATCAAATTAAAAAGCACCCACTTTGATCCTCCAAACAGTAACCACAACTGTTTCTCCTATTCACTTAGTCCCCCACCCCACATGCCCTCTGCCCAAGAAGAGGTTTGGTTTGCCCGCCGCCCTCCTCGCCTCCCTCCTCTCCTCCCCCCTTCCACCCTCCCCTCGTCCCCACTCATTAAGGCACGCATTGCGGTGGCAGAGCCCAGAAGGGCACCAACTTGCCCGACTACGGAAGGCGCAAGTGGGACCGTGACTGTGGGAACACTTTAGCGGCAGATTTTGGTATCTCTCTGTGATAAATAGCAAGGGCTTGTCGAGGTGCGTTGTGCATGGAAGGTGCAACCCAGGCCTCCGCACCCAACAGTCAAAGTCGTAGGGCAAATTCGATCTATCATTACAGAATGGGCAAAAAATTTCACCTAATGCTTTCGCTGTAGACTCATTGGTGGGACTTTTAAGAAATGACTTTTGTCTTTAGCAGTACAAAAGGTTTCAATGCTCCTCATCCTCCTCCTCCTCCTCCTCCCTCACTCCAAACGGTGGTGGTGAAATTGTAGAGCCAAAATTGTGGTAACCTTGTGAAGGACGAACTGAGCTGTCGACGATAATCCCTCCTCCCCGGATCCACCGATTCCGATTGCAGTGTAGGTTGGGTGAGTTGGAGTTGGAGTTACAAATTTTTCCTAGCAGGTATCATTAGGCTTTCTAGGCAGTCAAACTTGCAGTTGACTGTCACTTTTGGTGACGATTTAAGTGAACTGTTGGAGGTGGAAACCTTCGTTGAAGTTGACGTGAGAGCAGCAAACAATGCGCCAAGGGGCAGAACAGCAGCCGCAAGTCAGTGGCACACACACACACACATCCACAGACCACGCGCCATTCAGACCGCAAAACATCATAAATCTCTCTCGAACCATTTAAATGACCCTAGTCAGCTGTTTTTTGTCATTTTTAAGGCGGAATCGCCAAACCCCTCACCCTTTTCCCCATCCTCACCCACCACCACCACCACTGCCTTCATCGCTTTCGCCTCGGGTTTGCCTGGCCTGCGACCAACTGTGCTGGAATCGATGTGACGCGACGCACACTCGCAGGCACCAACCCACACACCCACGCACACACACACACACACAGACCGTCTCCAAGGTGCATTTGACTGGAGATGCGTCATATTTGTTTTTTTGCCTCTCCAACTTTTCTACCGCTTAAAATTCCTTCCAAAATTCACAAATCATCGCATTTACAGCGATGAAATTCCTCCTTGGAAGGAGGATTCATCAATTAACTTTTCAGAGGTTGTTGATGTCCAGGCCTGGTGGATTGCCTCTGGAAAAGGTGTTCTTTGATTGAACTGCCTCAATTTGTGGTCGTGTCGTGAGTATTTTGTCTTCAATGTGGCGATCTTGAAAATGAACTCAAATAATTACAAGGAAGTCACAGCGAGGAGGAAAAATCAAGTGACAGTCTTGAAGTTGCACCAGACAGTCGATCCGAAGTCGAAATCTCAAGCTCAATGCATCTGCAACCAACGTTTGCTGTTGACGTTGCAAAAATCCCTAAAACGGGTTATGGAGCCAAGGTTAGGGCATCAGCGGGGGGTCAACTATGCATCCACAAGGGAAGTTTGCTCTCAAGAGGAACCATTTTTACCAAAGGGAAGGGAAGAGCTGTCACCTTCGCCTCTCTCTCTCTCTCCTCAAATGTGTTTTTTGCTACAGTCGGTTTGTCAGTGACACGTGGAAGTGGACAATTGTGCAACAAGATTGCTAAATCGCGAATGTTAAAAAGCCTCGGAGGTGTTAAATCGCACTAACTACTATCCACACACGTGGGCAAACGCCCGAGGGCCTCCAATCCCACCACTTCTGCCTTCAAGTGTGCATAAAAGCAGAAATATAGCAAGTCTCGGTCCAAAAAGACCCTCACATCCATCCACCTGGTTGCCAGTATTAACCGAAAAGGCTGTAAAGCTGCATGTTTGATCAGTACTTCATCTTTTATCCCAACCATAGCAGTTGGACCTCTTTTTTGCCTTCCCCTAACCCCTTAACCATGTCTCTGAGTGGCGATTTTTCCCTTTTAAATCGGACTTTGAGATTTTGAGGTTTTGTCAACAAGACAAATAACTTGGCGTCAGTCCTTTTTTTTTTGCAATTTAACAAATCAAGTCTCCAGATCTATAAAGATGTCCATCGAGGTCAATGAAGCCAATTTCTAGACTAAAAATAACTGACAGGAGGTGAGAAAGTGAGAGGGACAGAGAGGGAGGGAGGGAGGGAGAGAGAGAGAGGGCTAGTGGGAGAGAGGAAGAGAGGCTAGAGTGAGAAAGAAGGGGCTGTAAATCATCACTGGTCGAGACGAGACAGGCCCAGCCAAGACAGTCATAACTTTTGGGCCTTTGGGCTTTATGCCCTCGCTCCTAGCCTCCTCCTCCTCCTTCTCCTCCTCCTCCGCCTCCGCCTCCTCTTCCGCCACCTTCCTGTCCTCGCCCCCCTTTACTACCGTAGGCACACACCGACGGCAGCGGTTGAATTATGACGCCCATAAAGGCTTGACACATTTGGACGTGCGTTGGCTTCCATCCCAACTGCTACAACCACTGCCTCCATCTCTTTTCCCCTACCACTGCCACCGTCCCCAATAAAGAGGTGGCGCTTTGACTGCAACACTGTCTGCTGTTCAAATAATTGTGCTGAAATTACCTCTGCATGGACAAGGCGGAGGAGGCAGGAGAGTGCAGATTTGATGAATACCCATTTTTACATTTCTACTGCTCGATTGACTGCATTTTAAGTTGTCCAATTTTGACAAGCCCTACTGAGGGCTTCCCTTTTTCCGTTCCTGTAGTGGCGAGTCAAAGTTTTGTTATCGTGTCCTTCTCGAGGGGGGATGAAGGCGTGGTGAAAGGCTGCAACGTGGTTTGGAGAGGTAGGGAAAGCGTGCATGAGTTTACCATCTATGCAATGTCATCAAACCTTTCTTGTCAGGCTTATGAGTCCTTTTTTTTTAAACTTTAATCCTCCACATGAATCGGATGATTGGTTAGATGTGTACCACAACTTGTTGCTGTGTTGACTGGGTGGTGAATGGATGAAGGCATCACTTTGGCCATTTGGTTGACCATCGGGGTCCACACCGTGCAACCTGATGACCTAACGGTAAACAAACCACCGGTCACAGTCAACCCGCATCCTGTTGCCACCATCACCATGTGTCTGTCGGCATATGGCAGGCAATATTTTGTTGTTGTTTTCTTTTGTTTTTTTTTTTTTTGCTTTTTTTTTAATTCAACGCACCGATTACGCATTGCACAGCGGCTCTTCAACACAACTACCCTCCTGAAATGCGTCGAGGAGTGTGGAAGCGGAGTGTGTGCCATCGAGGTGTAAAAGGGGTGAATGAGGCAGTGAAAGATGAAAAGGCAAAAAAAAAGTAGCCTTGATCAAAGTAATAAATTAAAATTTGGTAAATGTGAAGTAAATAGGCTGTTTAAATTCTGAGACGGAGACGCGATTTGTTGATTCCATCATGAGTTGGAAGTGTAGGAGCAGCGTGGACAACTTACCACTCTGTAATGCCAAAATGTTTATACTTTTTGGTGTTTTGACTGCACCACCTATGGTCTGAAACAACTTTCATTTTTGTAAAATAAATTGGTGGTCACTTAACTTTGCGTTTGTCTGAGGTGTTGCTTTGACGTGAGGCAGTTCCATTCCTCAAAACGGCATTTCATTGTACTCACATTTCCACAAATTTAATCACTGCTTCGCCTTGTTTGTTGCCTCCGCCCTCCGAAGGCATCTCAAGCACCGAGAGGGCGGAAAGACAGTAAACTGTGCACCTGGCGGTGCCGTGGCACCAACTTCACTAGTCCTGTCTGTCAATCCTCGCGTCTCATCTAAGCAGTGACAGGACTTGACAAGGACATCGTTTAAATGTCTACAACTTGCTTGGCTGATTGGGATGAAATGCAGGAAAGAGGTTAACTCCTCTCCTCGAGATGTTTGCTTCCTCCTTTCATCTCCCCCAAAGATCATAAAATGTCAACCAATGAGGGGGAGGTGGGACAGTCTTTCCAGTCATCTTTCAAGTGAGTAACGCAACAATGGAAGCGTATTCCTTCCAGCCTGTACAAGGAGGTCATGAAAGCATTACAAATGGCTGGCATAAGCATTAAAAAAAAAGATGACCATAACTTCTTCTTAGGCAATAAAACTGCAGTGTTTCAACCAATAACCTGACTGACAGATTTATGGAGTTGAGAGATGAGGAGGTCAAAAAATTGCCTTAAGCAAAGTATCTCGCCCAAAATTCCATCTCAACAGACAACAGGCGAAAGTGATTGTGCATTGACGATTAGACGGTGGTGACCAAGTCTGTTCCTCCAGAACAGCGTCGGTGCACTTCTTCCCTGAAATTTCGCCAATCTCGCATGCCAACTTAGAGGAAGTACAGCTGACGCTCAGCACTTCCTGATCATTCAAACACTGTCAAATAATTATCAATGGCATCGTATTTATCCCCAAGGCGACACAGAGACTGCGCTTGACAGTTGGATCACATTTTTCCTTAGTTCGTGATGCCTAATGGCCACCTTGAGGGATGCAAGTTTTCCAGATAGACAGTAAAATAGCCTCCTTTGCGTCCGAAACCCTCAGTGTGGTTGACAGACAGGGCAAAGGGAAGCAAATTTGAGTCATTTGGATGAGAAGGGGAGTGGAATCCTGTCTGTCTATTTGACTACCTGGTCAAGTACACATCTAGCTGGGTTGTAGTAAAATTAATCAACTTGGTCAAACTTTGGCGATGCCTGGTGCAGTGCGTTCTCGCTGGCTTACCCACTCTCACTCGGCTTTTTTGTTTGTTCCCTCTTCTCGCCTCCGCTCTACGCCGCTTCGCTTGGCTTCACTCCACCCCGTTCCACTCCATCCAACCTCACCGCGCCTCTCTTTCCCATGCAAAGTGAATTTATCCTTCTCCGTCTCCCTCCTCTTTCACCTCCACTCACAAGCGTCAGCTGTTTGCGGCAGAAATTTTTGCTTGCTGTCGTCCTCGTCGTCGTTATTCCTCTCCCCCATTGCGCTTCAGTGTGAGAGAGAGTGGAGTAATGGAGGGGCGGGAGGAGGTGGGGAGGCGAAAAGTAACTAAGCGTAGGGAATGGAGTGGCTTCCTGTCATCCTTGCACCAGTTGCGCTTTCACTTTATCACAGACGCGTGTGCACGCACGCAAGGACGGACGAAGGCAGGCGTCGAGGAGGAAAATCGGAGGAAAGAAAAAACGGCGGAGAGTGGAGAGTAAAAGCAGAACAGTTGCACACAGACTTCAGCACAGCCTCATTTCTCGTTCTCTCTTGCGCCCTTGCTCTTTCCCTGACCCCCTCCCCTTCCCTCCCTCTGGTGCTTCGCACCTTGGAGATGCCCAACCACCCCTTTGATATGGAAACAGACTGCCTGCCAGCCAGCCAGCCAGCTAGCCAACCAGACAGTCAACCACCTGTCCAACTCGCGAGAGGAAGAAGAGCAAGACGATATCCACTCTTTCACCATCAAAATTTGCACCTTTTTGGCGTCATTGTGCACAATTGGTATGCCTTTATCCCCACGTAGGTGGAAGCGCAAACCATCCTCTGGCTGACTGTTCACACAACTTTTCCAGTCACTCCACAAGGCACCTCCGATGTGCAGCTCCAAAGCTTACCTTTTCCCACTATAACCGTCCTCTGTGTCTCTGATGAGGCAAACTTTAGCTGAAGGTTGTGGATTCTCCATCAATAGAGTGTCTAAAAAAGCAGTCCAAAGTCTGCCTCTCTACGTCAGATTTGCGGTCGCCTATTGCTGGACATTCCACCTACCCAATTTTGGCTCTCTTCACCCATCACAGAGCTACTAAACGTTTAAACTTCACAGCATAGATTGTCACTACAAGTTTTGATGAGGCGAGTCAACTCTATCATTTTGCTAAGTAAATTTGAAGAAGTTCGTAGATTAATGGATTTACTGTTGCCCTAGCCACCTCATATCCGCGGTTATTCTTCTCGATCTGTCAATTTCTGCAATTTGGTGGTCGCTGAATTGCCCAGGGGCATTTCAGTAGACTTCATGTCATCACCATTTCATTAATTGCGTATCGCTTGTCTTCCTGAAGTACGGCCGATGTAGGGAGCAGTTGAAAGGACTTTAAAGATGAAGTGGGATGTGAAGGGTAATGCCTACAACAACTCTGACTCCTTTCTAAGAGTGGATTTTGCAAAATTTATTGTGCTGAAGGCTGGTTATTTTAAAACCAAGACAAAAGGGATAAAACGATTCTACTTACTCCCCTACTTCGTCAGTCAGCCGTAGATACTACTTAAAGGAGTCAAATGAGTTATTAGTAGACAGGGTTGTCCACTTTTTGTTCCCCTTCTAAAACTTTGCACTTCATGCACAACTCCAGTGACGACAAAAAAAAATGCTTAGTCTGGTCAAATTATTTTGTGTCTATGTGTCACTCTCCACTTCTCAATTCATCCCTGCAACCTTCATGCCAAAGCCGCAGTGCTTGGATCGCCTTAAACATCTTTCTTTTTACTCCTTGTTTTAATTTATTAAATTAGAGAAGAAAATTTTGGCATTGAAATTACACAATGAAATGACCTTCCTTGAAATGCGCATGTGTTGAGGTCGCCTAAAAACAGGTAGTCAAAAAGATGACATCGCGGGGTGAAATTCTGTCACCCATCGCGATTAAAAGCGCATTTTTTTATTTTAAAAAATAATAATAATAATTTAATAAAATAATTTGTAGCTCTGTTTAGTTGTTGATACTTCATATCGATTATCGAAGCATTGATTAAAAAGTCGATTGAAGGTGTCATTTGTTGCACATATCATCTCCTGTCACTGTCAAAGTGACGTCTCACAAATTTACGGGTCAAAATAGGTTATTTCAATCCCCAAAAAGCCACTCGGTGGAGGGGCGAGGAGCGGAGAAAGGAAAACACAACATTAAAAAAAAAAATAAAACTCCGTCAACATTTGGTGGCGAAAGAAAAGCTGTGATACTTGACAGGGCTGCACCGAGTAGTCATTGAATCGCTATAAAGAACCAAATACAGCGTTTTACAAGCACTGCAGAAAAGTTAGAGACCTCCTCACCATCTCGCCTGACTGTGTGGACAAAAGGGCAGGTGTTGGCAGACTGACCACGACAGCACTGATTGTGATGTCGGGGAGACGGTTGATTCCTCCTCCTCCTATCCCCCTCCTCCCCCCCCCTCCTACTTGGGCAAAATACTTAAACAATTGCAATTTGCACCAACTAGCTCACCTAGCGTGATTTGTCGGTAAGACCTGAGGAGATTGAATGGATTGACGTTTACCAGAAAACCCTCCTTCACCTTGGCTCTATTTTTCTGTCTACTTTTCGCCCCTCATCCATTCAACAAGTTGGCCCATGCAAATCATCAACTAGCCGATGACTTACTTGAAATTTGAGGCATCTCACTCACTCACTCCAACTTCAGAAAGTGGAAAATGGGAAGTGTTGTAGAAACGCTTCACATTGACACACAACAATTATCACGAATGTAATGTAAACACATAAATCATAGCGAAAGACATGTGTGCGCGTCGGGGAGAGTCATTGCGACGTCACTAACTAGCATTATTTGCACATCTAGTAAAAAAAGTTGGATTGACAGAACACACCACTTTCATCATTTCCACTAAAGTTAAGTCCTGTCGCCTCTTGGCGCGGTGGGCTCGGACCCAAATTGGGCAAGGGCAGCACAGTCGACGAAGCAGGCAGACGATACGAATGTTGAAACAAAGAGGTGTGAGACTCATCTGAGGCATATGAGTCGCCAAGCGTATTCCTATTTGATTGATCACCATCTGTGACTTCGCCGAGTTGACTGGATGAGCGTCCGTCACTGTGACCGTCGCTGTCTCCACGCACTATCTCCGGTACTCTTGGCCTCGATTCTGTTGCGCCTGTTCTTGGCGACCAAGTCATTCGATTCTCCTTTTTCAGTCGCCGTCGAGCGTTGGCAAACCATGTGGATATCTGACAGGAGAGAGATCGGTTAGTTGCAAGGACGTGGACAGTCGTCTGAACGGGTGTGGAAGTGGACCCACCTGATTAAACGTCATGCCTGTCTCGGCTGCAAGAGCCAATTTTTCAGCTTTTGTTGGGTAGGGATTTGTGCTGTGCTCCATCAGCCAAGCCTTCAAGCGTTGTGTCGCGGCTCTGGCTGTTTTCTTCCTCTCCGAGTCCAGACGTTGATCCGATCTGAAAAATGCACAATTTTAAGTCCATCTTTCCCCCGAACCTGCACATTGCCTCTATAGCTACCGCATTTTTGCCTCCAAACCACATGCATTCGTTCATCAAATCACCTAATTCGACTGTCATGGCTTTTTAGCTGTTCTGTGCTGTACTGTGGTTCTGTGTGTGCGTGTGTGTACACGATTTTTTTTTCAACCAACTTTAACTCTTTCCCTCCTGTGTGGGGATATGCGAAAAAAAAAAGAATCCTCCCTTCACAAAGCCCCTGTCCCCTCTGCAAACGCACACACACAACTGTTGTCACGCCTTTAATGACAATCACTCACCGCTGAGTAGACATAATTTGTCGCTCCTGAAACATCTTTGGAGTGGTTTCGATAAATCCTTGCCTTGCACCCACTAGACTGCCTCCATCGCACAAGGTTTGTTCTGGGTAATAGTGTGGAATATGCATATACAGATGTTGCTGTTGAAGGTATTCTGGGTGGATTGGTGGAATAACTTGTTGCTGATATGGCAACTGTCTAGGCTGTTGTAAGAGAGGTATTTCCGTCGGAGGTGGAAATATTGGTTCACATGAACTGTGTGGAATCTGCATTGGTACAGACACCTGCTGATAATATCCAGGAGGGATGTTCTGTTGTGCCACGGGTGGAGTGAAATGCCCATTGGGGTGAGTCTCGTAGGCCACACCTGCTGGAGGTCGTATGGCGTACCCCATTGGAGGCCTTCCTGGGAGAACTGTGGTCTGAGTGGCCTGGATGAGACCCTCGTTGTATGCAGTTGGGGGTCTGCCGTGACGTCGACCTTCCACATTATAAGGAGCATATCGCGTTGATTGGAGGTTTGTGTAAACCTTCCTATCCCATGCGGCGTAGGGTTCGTGTACTACCTGATAATTGGCCATTTCATTTTGATATGCACAAGGCTGCAGAGGTAGTCTTTGTTGCATCTGAATTGAATGCTGATACTGCGGGCTCTGAACCATCGCCATTTGGTCACACTGTGGCTGAATAAGGCGGAGGACAGGTGAGATGATTTAACCCAACTCCCTGCAATTACTTTGGCATTCTTTTACGTGTCTGCACATGTGGTTAGACAGCAACTGTTGCTGAAGGCAGTTGAATGCTTTGCCTGTCGCGAAAATTAGCCAACATTTGGGAATATACGTGTGTACACTAAACTCCAAATTTTAAATCCGAACCCTCACATCTCTTAGCTCCGCAATATCACTCTGAGGCACTAACTGACACTCCTAAGTCAATGCATAACTGTTTTTGATTCATCAGCAGCCATGTCCAAGTTTCTCCGTATAAAATGGGGAGTGCATGCTCTTTTTTGGTTATGCTGACCAGACTCAGACATGTTTCGACAGCCAACAACAATCGCAAAGGTGAGTCGAAGACAAGTCGTTATTGTCTTAATAACCACCGCCGCTATTGCTACGTATCAACTTAAAAGATGTTTTAAGCCCAATTTCGAGAAACCTCTTCAGATAACAACCAAAATTGATTTGTTTTACCTCAATTGAATTTGAGATGCTCCAGTCTACATGCGTGCTACTCAAATCCGTTTAGTAGCATTGGGCACACCTAAGTTAACATCTTGAAGAACCCTACAGTTTCGGCGCTCGCTTTGGGTAAAATTGGAGTTATGTGGCTTAAAAATTGAATTAAGACCTTAACTTTTACATCTGAAATCAAGCAGTACAAAAAACTTCAAACGTGTTTGCAAAAAGAAGCTATAAACGGGACTTCCTCCTTTAAAGCAAAGTAGTACAATTCAGGCGTTTGAATTTATGCAGACCTAAAGCATAAGGTGACTGGTAAAAGTTGCGCCGCTCGCTTGACTACCTCAATGGACACACTGCAAAGCTTCTGGGCGCCTTTGAAAGCATTGGTGGGTAACTTGAGTGACAGAAAAAAGCAAATGCTCAAAGGTTTGTCAGTATATGCAATGATAAAGGATTACAAGTTAGGAGTTAAAGTTCAAGTGTAGCGGTGGCAATGGTGCATCACATCTTATTTTTTAAATTTAGATGAGATGGTATAAGGGGGCGATTTTAAGTCCTTGGTAAAAAGTTATCTCAGGTTATGGAACACGTGCTGGCGTTTGAAAACTTTAGGCAAAAGTGACGTTGACGTCAGAAGTGCTATTGAGTGTCAATGACAGAATTCTGGCCATAGTTGCTTCCCTCTTATGTCGCTTGCAGGGTTAGATTGGCCCGCCAAAATGTCGGCACATCTTCGTATCGCAGCAGCAGTACCAGTCGGAGCAAAAATTCCGCCCCTTAATCCCCTTCCTTTACGAAGCTTTAACCACGGTAGAAGATGGCGAGGAGAAGGAGGAAGAAGACGACTACGACGACAGCTGTCTGCAATTTCACTAGTTGGGTGGTCTTTGTCGTTTTCGGCTTCAAGAGCGCGACTGGCACTGGGTGCCCGACCAATCGACTGTGGGTGGCGAGCGGAGGTGGGTGGGTGCGAGGGAACGAAAATCGCGTTGTGTGGTCCCTTCACTTGAGGCTTCTCCTTCTGCCTTATGGACGCACGCTTTTAACTTCTTCTCCTTCTTCTCTCACCCAATTCCTCGTCCTCATTAGAAAGCCACACGCCGCAACGACAACAACAACAACTGCTACTGCTGCTCCTGGTGGTTCTATCGACTTTAAATCGCGCTTGTCTTTGGGTGTGGAAATTTTTGGACTTTTTTCCTTTAAAAAAACACTATCGTTCGCTCGCATTTATCCCCTTGCCTACCTGTCTGTACGGACTGGGTATTACTTATATAATGGAGCCGCTTGCAACACAACCAAACGGCTGAACCTAATTACTGCTTATAACAAGGAAAAATGATACCTAATGATCCTTAAATTGTTTAAAAAGGAGAGAGAATTGGTGAATTAAGGTAAATGCGAGCAAAGCATGAGCAAATACAGTTAAATAATTTAAACAGGAAGATTGCGTTTGTCGTGAGGACTGACGTTTTCTCGCGGCATCCAATTTTCGGGCTCCAGTCAAAGACCACAGCATGATCTGTCTCTCTAGCCAAGGAAGCCGAGTAGGTGCATAGCTTCGGTGTCTTAGTGTACAGTCACCTATGTTAACTTGAAACACATTCAGCTTCTAAGATTGGTCACCTTAGCATCGGTACCAAAACGCCTACTTTGTGGAATTAAGCGCGTCCTGGCGCTTTGGGCAGATGAAGTAAAGCTAAGTGAACTTGGGTGAAGCTAAGCATTATTAATCATCTTCCCTTTCAAACAGAAGTTCGAATTGCGTGCTTTTACGGGAAGGACTTCCCAAGACCGCAACCGGCAGATAAACCTTTGAAAATCATCCCAGTCAGTGTATATTTAATTGCAAGGGTGTCAGGACAATGGGACCAATCAAATTGGGGCATAAGTCAAGAGATATTGGCAAGAGATGACAGAGGATGGCAAAATAAAATCTACTATCAAATTTCATCCCCCATCCTCCTAGCCAGAGGTTTATGGACAGAGAATAGTCTAAGGGAATAAGTTAGTAATTTATGGAAGTTAACAAAAAGACTGCAAAACCTTCGTCGTGCATCTAAAGTCAACTACCAGCTACAAAGAAAGCGAGAAATTGTAAAAAAATATATCATCCAACTTAATAACCCATTTTAAGCAGCTAAAATGTGCTGCGCCCTTAATCAACAAGCTAAACTTTATCTGCAAAACACCAATTAGTTCATCTCTTTGACCATCAACAATAGCACAACGTTTGATTGAAATTCTAGCTCAATGATTTTGATGAAAATGACATCAAGTTGATTGGACCCTTCACAGTTCAGCAACCAACAACGCAAATCAGCTGACTGTGCCTCAGTTGACAGACGCACTGAACTAGGTTCACGCGCAGGAAATTCAAAAATCAAATCTAAATAATTAAGCAATGACTTCAAGGTATCTGATATTGCCTCTTCCATTACCTTAGTGACGCAGAAATGAGAAAAAGTGCGGTTACGATGCGCGCGGTGTCACCCCTTTTACGATTAAGCTGTTAGCTTTGCTCTCAGCTAAAGTGAAGACGTTCCATTTAAAAATAATTCAAGCACTATAGCAACTGTTGGCATATGACCTTGGCAAAAATTTCACTACAATTTTTGACACGCAACACGTGTCACTTGACACTCCATTGCTAATTCGCAGGGGGAATGATAAAGGACCTCAACTGCCTCATCGGTTAGCAGTATTAAAGTTGCGCCGTATCCAACCATGTGGATATATATTTCCCCTTCTTCGCAATTAACGGTACATTACTAAGCTTGAAGAGGAATTTTCCCATGGTCGTGAAGGCAAAAGTTAGCGCGAGGTGGCCGAGTTTGCACCGTAACTCTAGTATTTTAAAATGTAGGTAGTCACGTAAGGGAATCGTTTAAATGCAATATTTTATGCACAACTTTATTATCGTTGTTTTTAAAAGCTAATTAACAAAGTAAAGTATAAGTTAATAAAAGTTTTTTTTTAATTCCTTACATCAGCTGAGATGCCTAAGTTGCTGGGAGTCTTTGGCCAAAATAAAAAGGAAGCATAATTCAAATTTAAAATAAGTTATCCACTTAAATTTAGGAAAAGAATAGTTTCAAACAAATGCTAAAGTTTTGTCGAGTGGTTACACATCGTGTAACTGACAATCATTTGCAGGCAACGAATAAATACTTACTCCTTTTGACTGCGCAACTACATCCATTCCGAATCCATCCATCCACGTCTGCCCTTCTTCATTACTTTGATTTTCTTCCGAATCTTCAAATTCGGAAAACATTTTCTCATTTCCATCGGATTCCATTGTGAATTGCAAGCCCTGCGTGGCGCATTTATTTATTTCCGCGGATGCGAGAGGGGTCAGCCACCTATCCAACCAGTGACGTTCGCGCCAATTTTGGCCTTTTTATTGGCTGATTGTGTGTGCGTGCATGTATGCGCGCAGATGTTATTGGTGGGAAGTGAGCTGAAGAAAGTTCGCCTGCCACTTTGACCTTACCAAAAAGATGCGCACGTTACAGATTTAATTTGTAAAATTTTAGGTCCAAATGACCAAAAATAACACCGTAAATGCTCTTAATAGGATCTTTTTTGCTAAACTTGATTATAATAGATATTTATGCTCACATATCTCCCGTTGCAATTATGCACCGCAAATAAAAGTGAAAATGAGTTGCGTTTACGTTTCGAGGGAGTGTTTCAGCAATTTTACACTGTTTTAGGGTTTCGCAATAGATAAACTGTTAGTAGGGTGTAGCATTAGTCACTAATATAGGCCATAGCTCCTCTCTACAGGGGCTTATAATCGCGTAGCATTAAAGTGGTAACTCAGAAATTGTGTCATCGATGACCATTTTAGAACAGAAAGAATAAATTAATAAACCCACTCACTTCAGCCTTATTGTGGTAGCTCTAATCCATTAAGCGCTATAAATCCTACCCTTCTTGCTTTGAAACCTCTGAAAGTCAAATGAAAAAAGTAAATGTAAATGCAGATGCAGTTCTGTTAGTCCACTTATTGGCAGGGCTTAAATTAGGGTTAGGTGAAGTTCGGTCGCCAAATGCCCATCCAAGGACCTTATCGGGCTTTATGATCTCTCACTTGAGGATACCGAATAACGGGTTCAGTTGCCACTTCAGCTCTTCCCTTAAAATAACAGTAGAGGTCGCTTAGTTTTCACTATAGGAGCTGACTATTGCGCCAAAAAGACCAGTAGTTCTTTTTTCTTATGCCATGGTGCCTGGATTTAATCTATGTCTAGATGTTTTGGGCAGCAGCTACGCTCATTCATATGTCACGACCCTCAGACAGTGATGAGTCATTTAACAACGTCAGTAAGGGTTATGAAATGGAATATTTGATAGGAATTTTGTGGCTGCAACAGCAGGCTGTTGTGAATTTCTTTGGAAACCAACTCACCACATATATATGTATTGACAATGAAGAAGATGTTTTGAAACCAAAACTTAGTCGGCCATAAATT